ATGCAGGCTGTATGGTGTGTTTATTATTATTATTATTATTTTGCAGGCTGTGTAGTGTGTTTATTATTATTATTATTATTATTATTATTATTATTGCTGATGCAGGCTGTATAGTGTATGTTTATTATTATTATTATTTTGCAGGCTGTATAGTGTGTTTATTATTATTATTATTATTATTATTATTATTATTTTGCAGGCTGTATACTGTGTGATTACAATTATTATTATTATTATTATTATTATTATTTTGCAGGCTGTATAGTGTGTGTTTAATATTATTATTATTATTATTATTATGCAGGCTGGATAGTGTGTTTATTATTATTATTATTTTGCAGGCTGTATAGTGTTTATTATTATTATTATTATGCAAGCTGTATAGTGTTTATTAATTATTATTATTATGCAGGCTGGATAGTGTGTTTATTATTATTATTATTTTGCAGGCTGGATAGTGTGTTTATTATTATTATTATTATGCAGGCTGTATACTGTGTGTGTTTATTATTATTAATTATTATTATTATTATTTTGCAGGCTGTATACTGTGTGATGATTAATTATTATTTTTATTATGCAGGCTGTATAGTGTGTTTATTATTATTATTATTATTATGCAGGCTGTATACTGTGTGATGATTAATTATTATTTTTTATTATGCAGGCTGTATAGTGTGTTTATTATTATTATTATTATGCAGGATGTATAGTGTGTTTTTTATTATTATTATTATTATTATTTTGCAGGCTGTATACTGTGTATTATTATTATTATTATTATTGCTGATGCAGGCTGTATAGTGTGTTTATTATTATTATTATTATTTTGCAGGCTGTATACTGTGTGATTATTAATTATTATTATTATTATTGATGATGCAGGCTGTATAGTGTGTTGTTTATTATTATTATTATGCAGGCTGTATAGTGTGTTGTTTATTATTATTATGCAGGCTGTATATAGTTTATTATTATTATTATGATGATGATGATGATGATGATGATGCAGGCTGTATACTGTGTGTTTATTATTATTATTATTTTGCAGGCTGTATAGTGTGTTTATTATTATTATTATTATTATTATTATTATTATGCAGGATGTATAGTGTGTTTTTGATTATTATTATTATAATTATTATTATTGCTGATGCAGGCTGTATACTGTGTGATTATTAATTATTATTATTTTGCAGGCTGTATAGTGTGTTTATTATTATTATTATTATTATTATTATTATTTTGCAGGCTGTATACTGTGTTATTATTATTATTATTATTATTATTATTATTATTATTATTTTGCAGGCTGTATAGTGTGTTTATTATTATTATTATTATTATTATTGCTGATGCAGGCTGTATAGTGTATGTTTATTATTATTATTATTATTATTTTGCAGGCTGTATAGTGTGTTTATTATTATTATTATTATTATTATTATTATTATTTTGCAGGCTGTATACTGTGTGATTATTATTATTATTATTATTATTTTGCAGGCTGTATAGTGTGTGTTTAATATTATTATTATTATTATGCAGGCTGGATAGTGTGTTTATTATTATTATTATTTTGCAGGCTGTATAGTGTTTATTATTATTATTATTATGCAAGCTGTATAGTGTTTATTAATTATTATTATTATTATTATTATGCAGGCTGGATAGTGTGTTTATTATTATTATTATTATGCAGGCTGTATACTGTGTGTGTTTATTATTATTAATTATTATTATTATTATTATTATTATTATTATTATGCAGGCTGTATACTGTGTGATTATTAATTATTATTATTATGCAGGCTGTATAGTGTGTGTTTATTATTATTATTATGATTATTATTATTATGCAGGCTGTATAGTGTGTTTATTAATTAATTATTATTATTGTTGATGCAGGCTGGATAGTGTGTTTATTATTATTATTATTATTATTATTATTATTATTATGCAGGCTGTATAGTGTGTGTTTATTATTATTATTATGATTATTATTATTATTATTATTTTGCAGGCTGTATACTGTGTGATTATTATTATTGTTGATGCAGGCTGGATAGTGTTTATTATTATTATTATTATTATTATTATTATTATGCAGGCTGTATACTGTGTTTATTATTATTATTATTATTATTATTATTATTATGCAGGCTGTATAGTGTGTTTATTATTATTATTATTATTATTATTATTATGCAGGCTGTATACTGTGTTTATTATTATTATTATTATGCAGGCTGTATAGTGTTTATTATTATTATTATGATGATGCAGGCTGTATAGTGTGTTTATTATTATTATTATTATTATTATTATTATTATGCAGGCTGTATAGTGTGTTTATTATTATTATTATTATTATTGTTGATGCAGGCTGTATAGTGTGTTTATTATTATTATTATGATTATTGTAATATGGCACACAGGGAGCTCAGTCCTCCGGGTACCATAGAGATCGCCTTCCCGCCCACTCTATGGTTCCGGTAAGATGGCGGCGCTGTGGGCTGTGCATGCTGAGCGGCTGTGAGTGTGTCTGTTCCCGGGGCTCAGCCAGTGACCGCACTCTGCAGGTAGGTACCTCACCTCAGCCCGCCCTATAGCCGGGTACAGGAGCACCTACCTCCCCGGGCCATCATATCACTGACTGCCCCACCCCCCTGCACTGTATGCAGCATTCATATCATCCCCACCTCCCTGCACTGTATGCAGCATTCATATCATCCCCACCTCCCTGCACTGTATGCAGCATTCATATCACTGACTGCCCCACCTCCCTGCACTGTATGCAGCATTCATATCACTGACTGCCCCACCCCCTGCACTGTATGCAGCATTCATATCATCCACCCCACCCCCCTGCACTGTATGCAGCATTCATATCATCCACCCACCTCCCTGCACTGTATGCAGCATTCATATCATCCACCCACCTCCCTGCACTGTATGCAGCATTCATATCATCCACCCACCTCCCTGCACTGTGTGCAGCATTCATATCCCACAGCCCCTGCCTGCAGCATCACACTGCTACATACAGCAAGGTAGCCCCTCTCAATGTACCTCCCCTGGGTGGCCACTCACATACTAGCACTGACAGGCCCTCTCCAACAGTGAGTGTTACAATAAACACAGCTGCAGTTTCCCTCTTAATATCAATTTCACAAATTAAACACAGAATGGCAAAATTCGGGCTTAAATATCTGATCTGGGAAAGTTCTCTAACTCTGCTATAATCTGGCTATTTTAAAGGGACACTATAGTCACCTGACCAACTTTAGCTTAATGAAGCAGTTTTGGTGTATAGAACATGCCCCATGCAGCCTCACTGCTCAATCCTCTGCCATTTAGGAGTTAAATCATTTTGTTTCTGTTTATGCAGCCCTGAAAACAAAATGGTTTCATTTTAAATCATATGTAACTTACTGTTATTTATATAGCGCCATCAAATTCCGCAGCGCTTTACAATGGGTGGACGAACAGACATGTAGTTGGAGCCAGACAAGTTGGACACACAGGAACAGAGGGGTTGAGGGCCCTGCTCAATGAGCTTTATCTCCTGCTCTGTAAATTGATAGTTTAATAGCTGGATAGAGCCTGCAGAAGCCTCCAGTTACACACAGGACGCTCCTGCAGGGTCTATTTAGCTATTAACAGAGCAGGCGATAAGATATTCTAAATTAAACAGAATTTAATACAAAGGAAGTGTAAACATTATGACTCTTTACAGGAGTTGTTTAGGAATGCAGTACACATTACAAGAAGGGAGTGTATGCAGCAATGCTGTATAAACAGAATTATTTAACGAAGTGGCAGAGAATTGAGCAGTAAGACTGCTGAGACATGGTCTATCTATACAACAAAACTTGCGATTTGTGGTCATTTTGAAACTAGACTGTCCCTGCGTATAGGTTACTAATATGTATATTTTTTTCCTGCAGTGAACCACCTGACCGCATACATTTCTACAAATATATTGAATCACGGTAAGATATTTTTTTGTTTGTATTTACAAACCCCCCTCCAACATAATGTAACACTTCTTTATGTGGTAAATGTGCTCATAGTCCCTAGATGCCTTTCTATTGTCCAATTTAAAATCTTTATAAATTGATTTGTCAATCAAAAATGGTTTTGCTGCATTAGCCATACTAAATCATACCATCTCAGGTAGTCACTGCTTGGGCAAATGAAGAAGCGTTAGCCTGAACAACAAAGAGGGCCTGGGCTGCATGTGACCCAGGAACCGTCACCGACTGTTAGACCAGTAGTTAGTAGTAATAGTTTGACTTTGAACAATGGGATGCCCGGGACTCAAGGCACCTTAACCACGTCAATGAAACAAGTGCAATGGAGAAAATTTTCATTAATAATTGTTTTGTTTGTACTGGTAAGCAAAGGCGAAAACTGACTCACTATATTTAAAGGACCACTCTAGGCACCCAGACCACTTCAGCTTAATGAAGTGGTCTGGGTGCCAGGTCCCTCTAGGATTAACCCTTTATTTTTATAAACATAGCAGTTTCAGAGAAACTGCTGTGTTTATGATAGGGTTAATCCAGCCTCTAAAGCCTCTAGTGGCTGTCTCATTGACAGCCGCTAGAGGCGTTTGCGTGCTTCTCACTGTAAATGCTTTCCTATGAGACTGGCTCCTGCTGCACATGCGCATTCAGCCGAAGAGGAGGATGGGGGAGGAGTGGGACCCTGAGTATGTTTTCCTGGCACTATAGTGGTCCTTTAATGCATTATATGATGAACAAATATTTGCACTTCTGCTTCATGAAGTGGTATTGCTGCATGAGACCTCTCACTACAGTCGATTTATAATAGAAATGTCTACGTAAAAGTATTTGCAAAATAAATCCTTTTCTTTTCTTTTTTTTTAAACTTGGCCTGCCGACTCACTTAGCTGTCAATTCTGCTTCTCTTAGTTGGTCTCATAAACTTAATTAAAGAAAAACTCCAACCACCATAGCTATTACAGCACCCATAGTGATTGTGGTGCCAGAAATATATTTGCAGCCGCCCCCCTCCCTTTGTAATTCGTCGACCGGTTTTAAAAGCAAGTTAGTAGTTTGACCTGGGTTGCTCGTTGCCACCACTGCTTCTGACAAGGTGGGGTTCAATTGTCAATTGGTGCTTGAGTTTCAAGTAAACAAAACAAAGCTCATATCCACTGTAGTTCTGTTGCTGAATTGCTCACGTAAGCTTTATGGTGTGAAAGAAACATCCCTAGCCTTGTGTTTCATCATCAATCTGTTAAAAGGCTGGTAATGTCTTAGGTGTAAAGTCATTTATCATCCATTGTGCACAATGAGTGGAATTGCTCTATAGACAAACAATAGCCAATACCTTCCTGCAGCTGGTAACTGTTAATGTAAATCATCTGAAATACATGTTCTTTTTAACGTGGTCAATGTGCTAAGATCTCCGGACCCGATAATGACTCCACTAATTTTCCCACAATGAAAAGATCCTGCTGAAAGCTACTTCTTTGATCTAATTATAAGTCATATTCTACATAGTCACTTTCCCATGCTTCCATTTGTCCTTCTGTCAGTTTTTAGATTGTAATTTGTGGATATGTGTGTTGTATTACTTAATTTCGAATGAAATAGTTTTCTGAAATTCTTTTTTTTTTTTCTGTGCTATTTCTATAGTATACTTACTATTCAAATGATGAGTTTAAACCAAACTGTCTGTGTGTGTGGCGTGTTTGTAAAAAGTGTTGCAATGCAGGGTAATAATCTTACTATTTGACAATGTGCTTGTGTTGGTGTGGAGGAATGGACTCTAAGAATGTATCTAACTGCATGTATGAACTAAAGGATCACTATAGGGTCAGGAACACAAACATATATTCCTATCAATCTAGCCACCCTGAGCCCTTCATGCCTCCATAAATACAGCAAAATCTTTCTGTCTTCAAGCCTGAAGTTGTAATTCTGCGTGCTGTTAGACTCAGAAAAACAAGCACTCTGCTGACATTAGAAATGGTAGCCTGATCCAATCTGGCTGAGACTGACAAAGAGGCAGATCAGGGGCAGACCTAGCATGATTGCATCAGCATCTCCTCATAGAGATGAATTGAATCAATGAATTCAGTTCAGTGCCTGCATTCAGAGGGAGGAGACACTGAATGTTTGGATTCATTTTAGGCAGCCATGACCCAGGAAGGATCTCTAACAGCCATCTGATGAGTGACCAGTGAAGTTATCACTAGGCTGTAATGTAAACACTGCATTCTCCCTGGAAAAAAACAGTGTTTACAGCAAAAAGCCTAAAGGTAATGATTCTACTCACCAAAACAAATTCAATAAACTGTAGTTGTTCTGGTGACTATAGAGTCCCTTTAAGGTTTGTGTGTTATCAGAGCTTTCTTCCCCCTTACATCTCTCTATTTCTGTAAAATAATTTGTCTTGCACCTACATGTGTCCTCTCCATATTTATCCCCTTCCCCCTACTTGTGTCCCAGCCGTCACATTAACCCCTTTTTGTCCCATTACCAATTTTTCAAGCTCATATTCCTTTCCCGTCCAGGTTGTCTTGCCAGTGTTAACAGAACTAACCTTTGTTGCAACGCTGGGAGAGAGAGAACCGCTCTGTCAGGAATTCATGTTTTGCGCACGATGCTGTTTAGATGGGGGTGGGGATATAACAGAAGTGAATCAATGATCAACTACAATCTATTTACCTTACAGATGTCTATTTTCTTTTATCTTAAATAGACAAAATGCGTAAGTGTATGGTTAATGGCTGCAAAAACAGGGATGGAACACTCGAATTCCAGTCGAAACTTTATGTGTTGCATCAATTTCCAAATTCGGCAGAAAGGATAAAAGCATGGCTGCAAGCTAGTGGCGACCACTTTGACAATATTGATGCTGTTGTTCAGTATATCATGCAACATAGAACTAAAAGCTATTTTCATATCTGTTCTGACCATTTTGAAACTGAAATGTTTGTTTCTGGTACCAGAACGAGATTATATCTGAAGAGCAATGCAGTACCAACAATATTTCCAAGGCCAAGTGTCCTATCTATTGTGAACGAGTTGGCTCATATATCAGAGGAAAGTAATCCAGATGTTGAAATGGATGGGCTTGTTGACACATCAATCCAAAGTGATACTGACTCTACTTTATTTGGGTTTGATCACGATTACTTAGCGGATTTTAGCTACCGAATACCAAAGCCAGAAAACTTTCACAGCGTACACACAAACACTGATATTATCCAGAAATCAAATAGAGGTACTTCTACGTCTCATTTTCTTGGCCGTAAGAATGCTTCCGCTCAAACTATAAATATCATAAGCAAAAAACACGTATCAACCTCAACATGGAACTTGGTCAAATGTAAAGACGCCTATACGTGGATTGATGTAAGTGATGAAGCTATAGATCCACTTGCCAAAAATTCCATCATAAATGACTTTTCACAAGCCCCCCCCCCCAAAAAGTGTTCTAAAGCAAAATCTCAACGAAAGAAATTGCCTAAACCAGAAACGTTGGCTACAGAGGAAATGGATGTTGCTTTTTTACCAGCAATACAACCTCGAACAGTCGGTGAAAGTCATTTTACAACTGTGTCACGAACCTCTTCTGCATTAAGGGATCAAGAATTGGATGCAGCTATGTTTAATATTGACTCGATGAATCCCGATTTCCTTCCTGAAAATCACTCTACAGATATAGAATTTGTAACTGAGCCCTCCCCGGATGTTTCTATTGCTGAAAGAAAATTTATAATTTTTGAGACATGTCTCGATCAGCTGTTACGTTCTGTCCAAACATGTAAATTCCCTGTTAAATGCACCGCTCCGATAATGGATATAGAGAAGACTATATCTGGAACTCTGCTTACCGTGTACACAGTTTGCAAAAAGAAACATCGTTGTCTATTTTGGAAAAGCCAGCCGATGGTTGGCAGAAAATCATGCGGCAATATACTGGCTAGCGCAGCAATAGTGTTCAGTGGTTCTGATTTTAAGAAAGTACATGAACTCTTTGAAATCTTTGGCGTGCAGTTTATTTCAATAACGACTCATCGTGCATACCAACAAAATTATTTGTTCCCAATAGTGAATTTATACTACCGTAAAGAAAGAAACCTTATTTTGGGCAGTTTGAAGGGACGGGTATTGTCCCTTTCTGCAGATGGGCAACGTGACAGTCCGGGTTATGGTAAGAAATATTGCACTTATTGCATAGTGGAGAAAAGTACACAAAAAAAATAGAATGCAACACAATTCAAGTGAGCGAAAGCTCCTCGTCCGTCGCAATGAAATCATTGGCATTCTCTACGTGTATGGAAAACATTTTAGTGGAAAGACTCAATATTGGAGTTTTGGTGACGGACAGGCATGAAATCATTAGAAAAATAATGATGGAGGAATATAAACAAATTAACCATCAGTTCGATGTCTGGCACTACTGCAAGAGCCTACGCAAAACTTGAAAACCTAGCAAGAGATCCAACGTGCAAAGAGCTTGTTCCGTGGACTAATGCCATAGTAAACCATTTTTGGGCATCCTGTTATCTTGGCAAGGGCAATCCTGACTTACTTAGAGAGAGGTGGGTCTCCGTTCTTCACCATATCACAAATGTGCACGAATGGGAATCTGAAAATGGAGTCAAACGATGTTCCCACAAAGAAATGTCAGAATCTGAAAACCAGGAGCGAGCAAGAATCTGGATCTCAAGAAATGGAGTGGCGCATTCAAAACTTGGAAACTTTGTAAACGACGGAGAACTTCGAAGTGATTTAAAACATTTGACGGAATTTGGCCACACAGGAAGCCTAGAAGTCTACCATAACTTGCTTTTAAAATATTGTCCTAAGCAAACAAATTTTTCGATGGTTGATGTCAAAATTAGCAAAATTAGCTGTATTGGCTCACAACGCCAGTATAGCTAGACCTCCGGACACAGACCAGCCAAGTCATGAAGATACAGAGCAAGTTAGTAATTTCCAACACAAGCCATCTTTTTCAAAAAGAACCAAAGGCTGTCAAGTCAAAACATTGTGTGGAGCAACGTATTTTGGCCACATTTTTCCAATGATGGCTGATACAATCAGACTGGCTTCAGGAGAAATTGATGTTTATTGAGTGTGATTATATTTAACTCCTTTAGCACAAAAGAGATTGAATAAAAAACAATGCCATCCGTGAGTATAACAGACAGAGCAGGATATGTGTGTTACAGTGATGATGTGATCTCAGGGAACCAACACAGGTTTAGACAATCATTCCATACATTACAAAGGACAGTCCTGTCTTTTTTCCAATCTCTCAGTAATGTTTTAGCTACAGCCATGCCTTTTGACAATTCATGCATTGATAAAATATAGAAAATGGCAGCAGCCTTACTGACGTGATATGGGAATAAGATTCAAAGGAACAGTATAGTCACCAAAATAACTTTACCTTATTAAAGTAGTTTTGTTGTATAGATAATGTTCCTGCAGTCTCACTGCTCTATTTACCGCCATTTAGGAGTTAAATCACTGTTTATGCATCCGTAGCCACACCTTCCTGCATGTAATTTGTGCAGCCTTCCTAAATACTTCCTGTAAAGTGAAATCTAATGTTTAAACTTTCTTTATTGCACAGTCTGTTTATTTAAGATAGTTTTAGGAATTAAAACAGAATTTAATATTCCCCTGTTGTATAACCCTCCTTGTGTGAGCTTCTACACTGAGCATATCATCAGACACTTTTAGTTCAAAGTAAATAAATCATGATTCTGCAGGTTAAATGCAGAGATCTACATTTTTTGTCCTTTTAGCTGCCTCTTTTTAGTATGTAGTTAAATGTTGCCTTAGTTAATGCTTTTCAATTACCATATTTTAGTGTTTAGTATATGAACCTTTTTGTTGGTTTTTACTATGTAAAGTTGATATATAAAATTTCGTTTTGTGATAGGACCGTGTTTAACTAATTATGTTAAAATAAAAACACTTCAACTTTGAGATTTTTTTTCCTGTTTATAGAGAAATTTCCACAATTATGTAGTTAACTTATGATGAGAGAGGGCACCACCTCCTATTTCCTAAAAAAACATGCACCCACTGAGTTTAATCTGCGTGTAGTGTCTGAGTGTAGTAACTGATAACTGAGGTGTGCGTCTGCGTGGAGGGCCCGAGGAACGCGCGTCTGTGTGCAGGGCATCTGCACGGGTGGAGGGGTCGGGGAACGTGTCTGCGTAAAGCTAGTTTGCGTGATAAAATTGCTTTGGTATTAGTGTTTCTAAGTTCATATGACATTAAAGGGTCACTATAAGTACCCAGACAACTTCATCTCACTGAAGCGGTTTGTGTACACTGCAGATAACTATATGATGCATCTGCATAAAGATCCGTTTCTAACTCACACGTTGCATGAGGACGTTGAGTGCTCAATCAGTGCTCTATTTGATTGGAGGAATGAGGCACTTGCAGTACACACACTTTTGTCCTTCAGTGAAGTAAGCTTGCTTGCTGATCAGGTGGCAGAGGTGGGGATTAAGAGGCCCCGAGTCAGACCTCGGGAAGCTTGAGCACGAAATTGGCCAAAAAAATGTGCACTGCCCGTGTAATCGAAGTTCAGGTGTTTCAGCTTTCCACATTGCTTTCAGGTGCCTAAAATACAGCACATATTTCTGAAATCTCCATAGATCAACATTGACAATACAAGTAGTCAAACTAAAGAGCCCAGTGCCATTAATCATGGCATTACCATATGACATCACCCACATACTCACAGAGCGAGACTGGCAAGTGCATAAACATTTGGCACAAAAATTGTATGTTGAGATCTTCTGGAAATGGGTTTCCATGGCCTCACGACATGCAGAATGCCAAACATTGGCTAGAACAGTGTAAATTACACCGCCACTAGACAGTTAGATCTGTCTGCAGTGTGTGTGTGTGTGTGTGTGTGTGTGTGTGCATGCACACGTGAGTCACTGGGTTAATAATTACCAGATATTTATATTATACACACAGTTTTATAGAAGTATATATCTATTTAGTTTTTATCTTTTTTTTCATGGTATGTATGGGTTATTACATTCATGTTTGATTCTCTCTTGTTGATTTTCGTTATATAGTCACTCAACCGTTAAAGGGTTACTCCAAACACTATAACCACTTTCTGGCCTGCAGTCCCCTAAACCCAAGGGCATAGGATGTAACTAACCAACTATAGGCATATTATGTGTGTTATTTGTAGAATAAATGGGTGGAATTGTTAAGAGAAAAATAGACAATCAGCCATCTTTGGTACAAATCTTCATCTCGTTTATGTATATGTAAATATGTATTTAAATTTAGCTAAACAGGAGAATTTGCAGAATATTTAATAAAGTCTTCCTAGCTTGGTTCCAATTTGTTACGTTTAATTTGCCTCTAATTAGATAAGGATGTTTGCGCCCTGGTATCTTGTCTTTAAGATTACCATCTGCTTTGCTGCTAACTTCCGGAATCACTTAAAGGGACACTATAGTCACCAGAACAACTACCGGTTTTATGTATTTGTTCTGGTGAGTATAATCATTCCCTTCACGCTTTATGATGTAAACAGTGACTTTTGTTGTAAACAGTGATTTTTCAGAGAAAATGCAGTGTTTACATTACATCCTAGGGAAACCTCCACTGGCCACTCCTCAGATGGCTGCTACAGGTGCTTCCTGGGGCAGTGCTGCACAGTGTGACTGATATTCAGTATCTCCTCTCTCTGCATGCAGACCCTGAACTTTCCTCATAGAGATGCATTGATTCAGTTCATCTCTATGAGGAGATGCTGATTAGCCAGGGCTGTTGTCGTGGTGAGCATTGATAGGCAGCTAGCTAGGAGAAGAAATTAGTTTACACAGGGACAGCCTGTCGGTATGCAGAATAAAGTGTTCTCATATATTAAGCAAAAGGTGAGGGTTCTTACAGACCTTTCATTCAATGTATTCCAAATAGTGGTACAAAACTAAACTATTTAATTGGTTAGTACATTATCTATCTTTGCCAGCTCCGTGACATAGAGAAGAATGAAGCTGGACTCGCTGTGTAAGGAACACTTTACTCTTTATATACTGTCTTATATGAAGATAATTAGATGTAAACATCTTCAGTTTGTTATACACTTCCCTACATACCTTATTATATATATATATATATGTCTGTTTGTTATTATCACTTAATAATACTTACATAATATAATATACGTGTCCAAAAACATGATTCATCATTAAAGTAACACTACAGGATCAGGAACACAAACACGTATTCCTGACAATATAGTGTTAAAATCACGATGTAGCCCAACTGGCTCCTCTAACTACAGTAAAATCTTACCTCTATTCCAGTTTGCTGGTGTTGGCTCCGCCCGCAACCCGCCTCATTAGCTGAGATCATCAGAATTGACAATCTCAGCCAATCCAATGCTTTCCAATGGGAACGAATTGGCTTGGCTGAGATCATCACTGTTGGTGATGTCAGCCAAGCAGGCATATCAGGGGCAGAGCCAGCACCAGCAGACTAGAATAAAGGTAAGAATTTACTTACTGCGACCTGTCCTGCTCAGACCCAGGTGTATGTTGGCCAGCAGCTGAGTCAGGAGTACTCCCTAGTAGGAATTTGGTCCTATTGCATTAAAGCAGACTGCTGACCAAAACAAATTCCACCTCTAGGCAGCTTGTAGAGTTCCAGGCTGGAAAAATGTGAATTTGTGCATATTTGCCATCTGTAGTCAGCACACGTTGCATGCGGGCAACAGATGACCTAATGTAAGACACATCATGCTGCCCAAGTCCATAGCACATCCGGCTGCAGAGAGAACTTGTCCTTGCCGCAGGATCGTAGCTAGGTACCTGCAAGGGATGTTTAAATCAAAAAGTGTTTTATTCAAATATATAATTACATTTCTTTTTTAAATTTAATTAGCACTTGATAAGATTTTTGCAAGTTTCTACTCCAGTTCAGTGAATGTATCCCTTACATGTTTTTTTTTTCTTTTTTTTTTCAATAGGATGATCACGTATGGTAATTTCACAGACGAATCCTCCCTCGATCATTACTAGGTAAATTTAAATAAATAATCTTTTTATACACTGAGGGGGAGACACAGACATATAACGTCTCTCTCTCTCTCTTCTACAAAGTTATTTTTTTGTTTTACATTCTGAAATCTGTGATCATCTAAAACCTATACAATTCTATGTATATTTTACTTACATGTGTATATATTTCTTTTCTTTCAGTGTATCACCATCAAACATAGATTTCTTCGGACATATTAAATCTCGGTAAGATGTCAAAGCTTTATTTTGTTTTTGTTTTTTGGTTTAATTTGTATAGGTGTGTAGATATTTAAGAAATCATTGAAGTGGTTTTGTTGACTGGAGTTTCCTGTGCTCTGCCCTCTAAGTATCCAACCATTCTCATTCTGTTTGGCAAACAAAAATCCCCAGCAGCCCGTGCCTCCGTCTCCCACAGCACAGTGTAGCTGTTGAGAAGATTACTCCGCATTAACTGTGCCAAATCATACCAGCGATTGATGGACCGCAGTGATTGGCTGAGAGTGGCCTGCTTGATTCTCATTAATCACTCAAACAAATTGCAAAAAGAAAGGACCACGCTGTCCTTTCATTTGAACTTATATTGGTTTATCTATACTGGTGAGCATAGGAGGAAACAACCCCCCCCCCATATATTACATTATATGATACGTAAACAAATATGTACTATTTAGGTGAAAGGGACACTAAAATCAGTTCAACTTCATGAAGTGGTATTTGTGCTTGGGACCTGTTATTGCATTGATAAAAAAAAAAATTTTTTTTCCTGCTTTGATTTAATTAATAATATATTTAAAATAAAAGCGCAAAAGTAAAAGAAAAAAATCTTACTTCTTATATTTGCTTTGCCACCTACCGTGGATGTTACATGTAGCTCTGCTGGCTAGCTCAAATAGGCCCATACAGGAAATTAAATGGATCTGAAGTAGTCTGCAATGTTGAACTGATCAATTTGTGGCCTTTCACAATAGTTGTGAATAGTTGTGTCTGGGGTCATCAGGTTGTGACGTTCAATTAGCACGTTTTAAATTAAATCGTATCCACTGTAGTTCTGTTCCTGAAGTGATCACAAAATCTTTATGGTGTGACAAACATCCCTGACGTTGATGTTTCTTCACCAATCCGAAGGCTGTTATTTTAGGGGTAAAGTAGTTCATCCTCCATAGTGCATTTCTACACCTCATACATCTCATACTACAGGTGCCGTTTATACACATCTAAAAAACCAAAAAGTAATCTAAAGTGATCTGTATGCTACGATGTCCGCACCCGCTACACATGTGCACAGTCATTTCTTCACTACCTTTTTCACAGGTGTGCAGCTCCTGCTAAAAATTCCTCCTTACATCTGTCTAGTTATAAGTCTTTCTCTACATCCTCTCTCTTTCCCTCTCTGCCATTTGTCAGCTGTTTAGATTTGTGGATATGTGTGTTTATACATTTTTTATTTCTAATAAAATTAGTTTCTGAAATTCTTTTTCTGCTTTTATTTCTATAATATTTTTTACACTTTCAAATGTAGCCAGAGTGCCAGTTTGGGTGTCTTGTTGCAATACAGGGTAATATTTTTACTAATAGATTGCGTACTTGTGTTGGTGTGGAGGAATTGAATGTAAGAATGAAGCTGATTGCCTGTGTAGAGTGCTTGCACGTGTGTTATCTGAGCTTTGTGTTTGACTATCATCTTCCCCCTTACATCTCCCTATTTCTCTAAAATAATTTGTCTTGCACCTACATGTCCCAGCCGTCACATTAAACCCTTTTTGTCCCTTTACCAATTTTTCTAACTCACATTCCTTTCCCATCCAGGTTGTCTTACCAGTGTCTGAAATGTTAGCAGAACTAACTAGCATTGCAGCTCTGGGAGAGAGAACCGCTCTGTCAGGAATTCATGTTTTGCGCACGATGCTGTTTGGAAGGGGGTGGGGATATAACAGAAGTGATCTTGCCAAATATCATTGCTATTGTTGTATCAATCAACGATCAACTACTATCTATTTACCTTACAAGTGTCTATTTTCTTTTATCTTAAATAGACAAAATGCGTAAGTGTATGGTTAATGGCTGCAAAAGCAAGGACGGAACTCCCGGATTCCATTCGAAACCTTACGCGTTGCATCAATTTCCAAATTCGGCAGAAAGGATAAAAGCATGGCTGCAAGCTAGTGGCGACTATTTTGACAATATTGATGCTGTCGTTCAATATATCATGCAGCGTAGAGGCAAAAGCTACTTTCGTATCTGTTCTGAACATTTTGAATCCGATATGTTTGTTTCTGGTACCAGAACCAACTTGTGTTTGAAAAGCTATGCAGTACCAACAAAATTTCCAAGGCCCAGCGTCTTATCTATTGTGAACGAGTTGGCTCTTGTGTCAGAGGAAAGTAATCCGGATGTTGAAATGGACGAGCCTGTTGACCCATCAGTCCGAAGTGCTAGTAAACCTACTTCATTTGCGTTTGATCACAATTATTTAACGGATTTCAGCTATACAATATCAAACCCAGGAAAATGTTTCAGCGTACACACAAACACTGATATTATCCAGAAATCAAATAGAGGTACTTCTACGTCTCATTTTCTTGGCCGTAAGAATGCTTCCGCTCAAACTATAAATATCATAAGCAAAAAACATGTATCAACCTCAACATGGAACTTGGTCAAATGTAAAGACGCCTATACGTGGATTGATGTAAGTGATGAAGCTATAGATCCACTTGCCAAAAATTCCATCATAAATGACTTTTCACAAGCCCCCCCCAAAAAGTGTTCTAAAGCAAAATCTCAACGAAAGAAATTGCCTAAACCAGAAACGTTGGCTACAGAGGAAATGGATGTTGCTTTTTTACCAGCAATACAACCTCGAACAGTCGGTGAAAGTCATTTTACACCTGTGTCACGAACCTCTTCTGCATTAAGGGATCAAGAATTGGATGCAGCTATGTTTAATATTGACTCGATGAATCCCGATTTCCTTCCTGAAAATCACTCTACAGATATAGAATTTGTAACTGAGCCCTCCCCGGATGTTTCTGTTGCTGAAAGAAAATTTATAGTTTTTGAGACGTGTCTCGATCAGCTGTTACGTTCTGTCCAAACATGTAAATTCCCTGTTAAATGCACCGCTCCGATAATGGATATAGAGAAGACTATATCTGGAACTCTGCTTACCGTGTACACAGTTTGCAAAAAGAAACATCGTTGTCTATTTTGGAAAAGCCAGCCGATGGTTGGCAGAAAATCATGCGGCAATATACTGGCTACCGCCGCAATAGTGTTCAGTGGTTCTGATTTTAAGAAAGTATATGAACTCTTTGAAATCTTTGGCGTTCAGTTTATTTCAATAACGACTCATCGTGCATACCAACAAAATTATTTGTTCCCAATAGTGAATTTATACTACCGTAAAGAAAGAAACCTTATTTTGGGCAGTTTGAAGGGACGGGTATTGTCCCTTTCTGCAGATGGGCAATGTGACAGTCCGGGTTATGGTAAGAAATATTGCACTTATTGCATAGTGGAGAAAAGTACACAAAAAATAATAGAATGCAACACAATTCAAGTGAGTGAAAGCTCCTCGTCTGTCGCAATGGAATCATTGGCATTCTCTACGTGTATGGAAAATGTTTTAGCGGAAAGACTCAATATTGGCGTTTTGGTGACGGACAGGCATGAAGTCATTAGAAAAATAATGATGGAGGAATATAAACAAATTAACCATCAATTCGATGTCTGGCACTACTGCAAGAGCCTACGCAAAAAGCTTGAAAACCTAGCAAGAGATCCAACGTGCAAAGAGCTTGTTCCGTGGACTAATGCCATAGTAAACCATTTTTGGGCATCCTGTTATCTTGGCAAGGGCAATCCTGACTTACTTAGAGAGAGGTGGGTCTCCGTTCTTCACCATATCACAAATGTGCACGAATGGGAATCTGAAAATGGAATCAAACGATGTTCCCACAAAGAAATGTCAGAATCTGAAAACCAGGAGCGAGCAAGAATCTGGATCTCAAGAAATGGAGTGGCACATTCAAAACTTGGAAACTTTGTAAACGACGGAGAACTTCGAAGTGATTTAAAACATTTGACGGAGTTTGGTCACACAGGAAGTCTAGAAGTCTACCATAACTTGCTTTTCAAATATTGTCCTAAGCAAACGAACTTTTCGATAGATGATGTGTTGGCCCGGGCAAAATTAGCTGTATTGGCTCACAACGCCAGTATAGATAGACCTCCGGACACAGACCAGCCAAGTCATGAAGATACAGAGCAAGTTGGTCATTTGCGACACAAGCCATTTTACTTAAAAAGAGCAAAAATCTGTCAAGTCAAAAAAATTTGTGGAGCAACGTATTTTGACCACATTTTTCCAATGATGGTTGATCTTATCAGACTGGCTTCAGGAGAAATTGATATTTAACTGAGTGCGATAAACATTCGAACTTTCGCCTAAATATTCAACTCCTTGAGCGACAACGGGATTGAATGAAAACACAAAACAAAACAAAACAAAAATTGTTCGCACTTTACAAACTTTCACATTAATATTGGTTGACTTTTTAACCCAGTTTGCTTTGCTTCAGAAATGTTGCTACCTTGTTTCCATGTAATCACTTTGAGAGAGAGATCCCATGTGCCTGATATTAAATGGAGTTACACTATGAAATTGCAAGTGGCTGTCCATGAGTGTAACCCCCACCAATCTCAGACCGAGTGGGATATGTTTTTACAGTGCTGACATGACATTAGGGACCATGATGCAATGCTTTATAAACAAAGGATAGTCCGGCCATCTTTCTTGTTTTGTTTTTTTTTTTTTTTCCCATCTCTCATGTTTTAACTAGAACTGTCAAAGTTGTACTTTGACAAAAGGTTAGAAATGGCCGCAGCATTACTGAGGACACATGGGGCAAAAAAAAATTGCTGTTCTGTCCTTTCTTGTGCTGTTTATGTATGTTTTATATTGACAGCCTAGGCGATACTACAATGAATGCTGGTTGGATTTTTTTTTTTTTTTTTTTGTGAAAATCTTGTTTCACGGGGAGTAACCTTCTGATGACACAAACCTTACTTTTTTTGGTGTCTGATAATTTGATCTTCCTGTTGCTAAATATGTCATTCTCATTGTCCCACTGAATGTCTATGAGGGGGGCTCTCATAGTTTCACTCTTTCTCCAAATCTAAAAAAAAATAATAATTTGTGTCCACTCCTTAGGACACTGAGTATATTATCAGACGCTATTCTAGTTTAAAGTGAATAAATCATTACTCTGTGCCATACATGCAAATTCCAGTGTTTTAGTACTTGCTGCCACCTCTTTCAGTATGTTGTTGAAAATCCCATTAGTTAATAAATGCTGTTAATTAGCCATTTTTGTGTTTAGTGGATAAACCACTTGGTTAATATTGAAATTTTACTTTGTACGCTTTGTAGCTCTGGTTATATAAAATATACTTTTGTGATACCAGACTGTCTTTAATTCCTTTTTGTTTTTAATGTTTTTAAAATAAACATGCTTTGAAAAATGAAGAAAAATAAATTTTAGAAAATTTAACGGCGCAGTGGTTTTGGTGCCAGTAGTGTTTAGGGCTTAGCTCATCAGTGAGAGCAGTCAGCTGACACAGGCGCTTCCGACTGTCTGCAGGAAGTAGTAGTCAGGGGTGGTACCTGGTACACCCCAGGTAAAAAGTCGAATTGTTCGAACACTCCAAGCACCATAATCACTACAGCTGGTAGATGTGTTAATGGTGCCAGGAGTGCCCTAGCACTGTCCCATTTTCAGTAGTCAGATTGTTTGCAAATAATTTTACATTTTACCTGCGGTCTTCCTGTGGCCCCAGATGCTACTGTATTGAGACAATCCGCTCAGTGGAGCTAACGGCAGGGCTAGTGAACGCTGGCTGCTATCTCGTATATACAATCACCTGTGCAGGAGATCACTCACAGATGCACGACACGCCATTTAGCAATGAACCCAAATAGTGAATTAACTACATGCAGAGTTTATATAAGAAAACGGAATCTAAAACATATTCACTAGAGGCAAGGTCATTACATGGGCTGATCCCAACATGTACTGGCTGTCTGAGAGTAATAGGAGTGGGGTCGCTGTCAGCATGTTCAGTTAATGCTGGTTTTGTGTAAACAATTTTATTGCATTTTAAAAACTTTACATGTCAAGTATATCGGTACCGGTTATTGGCAATCTGCGCAATAGCAGACCGAAAATCTGTATCGGCAATCAGCTCTGTAAAAATATCTATCAATCCCCGAGATGTATAATACATCTTCATGTTTTATAGGCAGCAATTAAAGTCCTACCTTGTAGATGGCAAATATTTTAGGGTGAAATCAAAAGGTTAATCTACGTAGGCCATTTTTGAAATCCTTCTTTGATTAAAGGAGAACTATAGGCTAGGAATACAAAAATGTATTTCAATCTTTACAGCTCCCTATAATGCACACCTTGCTTGGTGCTGGGTCAGAATTCGCCGTGGCTCTGACAATGGGACCTAATGCACTTGCGCGGCAGGTGAATTAGGGCAGCCCCATTGGAAAGCATTGTATAATTCTTTCCCATGGGGTTTCGGGTGACGCTCGATATCCTCTTGCATAACGTGATAACGTCCAGTGTCAATTAGCCGACCTAAAGTCACTTAATGACCCGGAACTCCTTCTAGTGGCTGTCTAGAGGTGGAGATAACTCCCAAATGTAATTATTGCAATTTATTAAAAAACTGCAATAATTACCTTTGCAAGATTAAGGGACCTGCAGCCAGACCACTTCAATGAGCTGGAGTGGCCTGGATGCCTATAGTGTCCCTTTAATCCATTTCCTTTCAGGATATGAAACATGTGGTGGTGGATCTTGTTTTGCAGTATATATATATTTTCCCGTACATCTCCATATGATACGGTCACCCTGCTTATTGTTTACAGTGAACCTGCCATCCCCAATAGTCTGGATGACAAACTATGTATTACATTAATAGTTAATCTGTTGTAGACACATGAAGTCACTGGCAGATTGGAGTCTAAATGTCCAGTCTCTGGGTCACACACTAATTCACTAACACAATCTCTGTCATTTCCTAAAAGTTGCATCATTGGGAATTGATCTGTGAATTTTCAAATTTAGGATAAAATGGGGAAAATGGTAGACAGACAACTGATGGATCAGCGCTACATGACCAACCGGAGGGTGTGTTCAATACAGGCAGCATAACCTAAAATTTTTGAGGTTCCCTCACAGACCATCAAAGAAAAGAGTTGTATACAATAGAACTGATATTAGGTTGCGCCTAATATGGTCACACAAATGTGAGTACACCCCCACAATTTTGTAAATATTTTGTATCTTTTCAAGTGACAACACTGAAGAAATGACACTGCTACAATGTAAAGCAGTAAGTGTACAGCCTATATAACACTGTCAATTTGCTGTCCCCTCAAAATAACTCCACACACAGCCATTAATGTCTAAACAGTTGGAAACAAAAGTTAGTACACTCCTAAATTAGCCATTTTCCCTCCCCGGTGTCATGTGACTCAATAGTTTTACAAGGTTTCAGGTGTGAATGGGGAGCAGTTGTGTTAAATTTGGTGTTATCACTCTCACACTCTCTCATACTGGTCACTGGAAGTTCAACATGGCACCTCATGGCAAAGAACTCTCTGAGGATCTGAAAAAAAAAAATTTGTTGCTCTACATAAAGATGGCATAGGCTATAAGAACATTGCCAAGACCCTGAAACTGAGCTGCAGCACGGTGGGCAAGACCATACAGCGGTTTCACAGGACAGGTTCCACTCAGAACAGGCTTCACCATGCTCGGCCAAAGAAAATGAGTACTTAGCGTTATATCCAGAGGTTGCCTTTGGGAAATAGATGTATGAGGGCTACTGGCATTGCTGCAGAGGTTGAAGGGGTGGGGGGAACAGCCTGTCAGTGCTCAGACCATACGCCGCACGCTGTATCAAATTGGTCTGCATGGCTTTCGTTCCAGAAGGAAGCCTCTTCTAAAGTTGATGCACAAGAAAGCCTGCAAACAGTTTTCAGAAGACATGTAGACTAAGGACATGGATTACTGGAACCGTGTCCCGTGGTCCGATGAGACCAAGATAAACTTATTTGGTTCAGATGGTGTCAAGGGTGTGTGGCGGCAACCAGGTGAGGAGTACAAAAACAAGTGTGTCTTGCCTACAGTCAAGCATGGTGGTGGGAGTGTCATGGTGCATGCCGGCACTGTTGAGCTACCATGAATGCTAACATGTACTGTGACATCCTGACGCGCAGAGCATGATCCCCCCCCCTTCAGATACTGGGCCGCAGGGCAGTATACCAACATAACGACCCCAAACACTCCTCCAAGGTGACCACTGCCTTGCTAAAGAAGCTGAAGGTAAAGGTGATGGACTTGTCAAGCATGTCTTCAGACCTAAACCCTATTGAGCATAGGTGGGGGAGCGCAAGGTCTCTGACATCTACCAGCTCTGTGATGTCGTGGAGGAGTGGAAGAAGACTCCAGTGGCAACCTGTGAAGCTCTGGTAAACTCCATGCCCAGGCAGAGCTGGAAAATAATGGTGGCCACACAAAATATTGACACTTTGGATTTGGCCATTTCCACTTAGTGGTGGAAAAACCGCTGTATGGTTTTGCCCACAGTACTGCAGCTTAGTTTCAGGGTCTTGGCAATCTTCTTATCACATAGGCCATCTTTATGTAGAGCAACAATTCTTTTTTTCAGATCCTCAGAGAGTTCTTTGCCATGAGGTGCCATGTTGAACTTCCAGATACCAGTATGAGAGTGTGTGAGTGCGATAACACCATATTTAACACACCTGCTCCCCATTCACACCTGAGACCTTGTAACACTAACGAGTCACATGACACCGGGGAGGGAAAATGGCTAATTGGGCCCAATTTGGACATTTCCCCACAGGGGTGTACTAACTTTTGTTGCCAACGGTTTAGACATTAATGGCAGTGTGTTGTTATTTTGAGGGGACAGAAAATTTACCCTGTTATACAGGCTGTGCACTTACTACTTTACATTGTAGCAGAATGTCATTTCTTCAGTGTTGTCACATGAAAAGATATGATAAAATATTTACAAAAATGTGAGGGGTGTACTCACTTTTGTGAGATACTGTATATTAAGATAATTTAGCAGTATTAATAAAGTGTACTTACTAAAACGCCAATCAGAAAGATTTACAGTCAAAAATATAAGATATAAAAATAGTAGGAAGTCCAAATTCTGATGTACCATAAGGAATATTATGAGAAACTGAAATAGTGTAATATGTCATGAGCAGGTGATAGGAAGTATGCAGTACGTAGTAGTACTATGGTTTAAAAGAAACCGGTATCTCAAGACTCCCACAAGAAAACTAATTACATAAAGGTCACGCTTTAATCATCTTTGTACCTCATAATTTGAACTTTTTAGTATTTTTTATATCTTATATTTTGGCCTGTAAATCTTTCTGATTGGCTTTTTACTAGAAGTACATTTTTTTTAAAGGAACACTATAGTCACCTAAATTACTTTAGCTAAATAAAGCAGTTTTAGTGTATAGATCATTCCCCTGCAATTTCACTGCTCAATTCACTGTCATTTAGGAGTTAAATCACTTTGTTTCTGTTTATGCAGCCCTAGCCACACCTCCCCTGGCTATGATTGACAGAGCCTGCATGGAAAAAAAACTGGTTTCACTTTCAAACAGATGGGATTTACCTTAAATAATTGTATCTCAATCTCTAAATTGAACTTTAATCACATACAGGAGGCTCTTGCAGGGTCTAGCAAGCTATTAACATAGCAGGGGATAAGAAAATCTTAATTAAACAGAACTTGCAATAAAGAAAGCCTAAATAGGGCTCTCTTTACAGGAAGTGTTTATGGAAGGCTGTGCAAGTCACATGCAGGGAGGTGTGACTAGGGTTCATAAACAAAGGGATTTAACTCCTAACTGGCAGAGGATTGAGCAGTGAGGCTGCAGGGGCATGTTCTATACACCAAAACTGCTTCATTAAGCTAAAGTTGTTCAGGTGACTATAGTGTCCCTTTAATAATTCTAAATTATCTCAATATATATTTTCATAATTGTGGCGCAACCTAATATCTGTTCTATTGTATAAAACGGGGGAAAAAATTAAAATCATACATTTTCCAACTTGGCTGTTCTGACGTAAATTTGTATTTGATAAAACAAAAAAGTCTTCAGATACTCACGGAATCAAAGCCATAGGCAGATGGCAGCAACGTTTCGACCTGTGAATAGGATTTTATCAAGCTTGATAAAGACCTATTCATAGATCGAAACGTTGCTGTGCTTTTCTGATCCAATAAATCTGCCTATGGCTTTAATTCTATGAGTGCCGGAATACTGTTATGTTTTAGCAAACATGATCTGGATTTACTGGTCCTGCTTCGGCTAAGCACCCGGTTTTAAGTGGAAGTGGAGTGAGGTTCCTTTTCTTCTGTTTTGTAAATTTGTATTTGGTAAATTCCCTAGCAATTTAGTAAACAACCATAAACAGTGGATTATAGTGACCTGAAAACTGAATTTCTAATGTGATTGTGAAACTGTCAGTGCAGAATTTCTTCCTTTCTGTGTTTTATACAACCTCCTGTCTGTTATTTTTGTAGCCATGATATTCGTTTCTGCATCATGAAAATTCGAAATCTGAATAGTATTTCTCTGTATTTTTCATCCATGTGTACAGACTTCAGACGTCTGAATTTGGGAATACATCTCTTTATAACCCAACGTGTAAAATGAGTACACCGTCCGCCCCGAAGAGCCAGGGCATGAGGTTTGCGGAGGAGCAGCTGCAGAGACATGGCTGGACTGAAGGTAACTCTGAATGGCACAAGGCCCTTACCGCAAGAGAAATATCTAACAATCTACAGAAGCATTTCGGATCATTCAAAGTCAAGTCACATGACATGCACTCAGTATTCTCGATCACCCGGCACACTGACTTTGTCGCACAGGATAGGTGGACTGTTGTTGGGCAGCTTTTATTAGCCCCCGTGGTGCTCATGGATGCCAGAATGTAATATTCCCCCCACCCTTCCCTCTCCTGATCTCAGATCTGCCTAAATTGGCAAATCTTACTGGAATCTTAAGGGACACTCCAAGCACCAAAACCACTTCATGTTAATAGAGTGGTTTTGGTGCACAGACCATGTTCCTGTATTTCTGGTATTGTAAACATTGCCGTTTCCTTGAAACGACAATGTTTGTTTGGCTCTAAGCACACCTTTTAGTGTTTGTCAGACTGACAGGCCTACAATTTTTGGCGTCAACATGCTGAACACTGATTGGCAAATGCACCATAGGTTCCAAAGGTTTTATTTTATTTTTTTAAAGGAGGGGGGGATGGCCTGTGAATGTAAAAACTCAAAAGAGGAATATATTTATTTAGCTTTTATTTGTTCCTTTGGCTTAGTTAATTCCATTAATAGCATGTTCTAATAGCGACTTACCCGCTAGGTTCTGGATACTTTTGTTTCTATCATTAAATGTAAGACTGTTCTTGCGCAGACCAGCATCCGATGCAATTTTGGGATGTTCCCACAATTCCCTTTGTGCAGCATTTACATCCAAAACACAATCTCACCTGGTGAGGATGGAGATGTGTCTCCAAAAGAAACTGGATTCATTTCACCTACCTTTTTACTGGCTGCGTATAGGGTGAATTGATTATCACCATTCTTTTAATAAAAGGCAAAGTGAGCATGTGTCTTCTGTTGTGAAGATTTTGTGAATTTGTTTAAATTGTTAAACTCTTTAGAACTTGTTTTACAAAATCAGTACTCCTGAAATTAGATTTGCAATGATGGAAGTATTATTTGTGGGAAATGGAAAGCTACAGTTATGAAAATAAAAATGTTGATTTATTTATTTTTTATTTAGGCAAGGGGCTTGGAAAAAGGGAAAGTGGAATTTCGGAAGCCATCAAAGTGAAAGTGAAGTGTGACAAAGCCGGGGTAAGGAGCAGTGTAGCCATAGGTTCCAAAATCATGCCTTACCAGTTTGTGTTCATGTGGCCTGTAGGCAGACTAGCTTTAACACCTACACACATTGGGACTATAGCTGAATAGTACACTAGTACACGTTGTGGACTACATATTCCCTGATGCTTTGTTAGCATTATGGCTGTGAGAGCATTATGGGAGATGTAGTCCACATCTGGAATGCCAAAGGTTGCCTACCCCTGTTCTGGAGCAAGATGAACATGTGATCTACCTGGCTGGATTTTAACAATGTCCCATGATTCACAAAATGTTTTTTCTTTATGCTCTACAATGGAAATTCTCGTGAAATCATGATGCAAGAGTTTGGGGGTCCCTTCTATAACGTCTAATTTAGTAAAAGTAACTTTATAAAGTAACACACTTCTCCACTGACATAATTCTGTTCATGTTCTATACCGATCTAATCCATGTGCTTCCTGTCTTTACATATGATTGTGTGTTTATAGGTGGGTCATGACTCTGCGGAGCAGTTCACCTTTCACTGGTGGGATCATGTTTTTAACAAAACGGCTGCCAGCATCTCGGTGGAAGCTGACCATGACCAGGTGAGGAAACAGAGAAATGGAATACTGAATTTGTATTCTCTTTGAACAGTTTAAAGGAACACTACATTGATTTTTATTATTAAACATTTTAGTAAATATACACCCAAAGAAAGCATGCATGTATGGTGTTCTGCCTGTTTATTTTTGAGCGGGTATAAAATAAACAGCTTGCAATAGACCTGTTGTCTGCAGTCTTTGAAAGCCCTCCCCTCGTTCCCCTGCACAGACTCCTTGAGAAACCTCTGCTGGAGCTACGAGCGAGCTTTTTGATTGAGGCTTTCCAATGCTTCTCAATGAGCCGTAGTGCCACTCATTAAAGGACCGCTATAGTGCCAGGAAATCATACTCGTTTTCCTGGCACTATAGTGCCCTGAGGGTGCCCCCACCCTCAGGGTCCCCCTCCCGCCCGGCTCTGGAAAGGGGAAAGGGGTTAAAACTTTCCCTTTTCCAGCGCTGGGCGGAGAGCTCTCCTCCTCCTGGGCTGAATGCGCACGCGCGGCAAGAGCTGCGCGCGCATTCAGCCCGTCGCATAGGAAAGCATTTACAATGCTTTCCTATGGACGCCGGCGTGCTCTCACTGTGAAAATCACAGTGAGAAGCACGCAAGCGCCTCTAGTGGCTGTCAATGAGACAGCCACTAGAGAATTAGGAGGAAGGCTTAACCCATTCATAAACATAGCAGTTTCTCTGAAACTGCTATGTTTATAAAAAAAAATGGGTTAACCCTAGAAGGACCTGGCACCCAGACCACTTCATTAAGCTGAAGTGGTCTGGGTACCTAGAGTAGTCCTTTAAGAAGGGGAGAAGGCAGGCTCACTCTAGGGTGGAGGTAACAAAGTGGAAGAAAGACTCCCCGACTGTCTGACAGCCAGGAAAGTGTTTCTGTCCCCAATTATAAAACTGCCGATTTCTATTGAAAAATGACAGACTGCAGACACATTAAACCACTCTAGCAATCTGAAGTGCTATATATGTGGGAAGTGTCTGTCTTCCTTTAAAACAATATTTCTAAGGAGCTGGTATTACTTCTAACCAAACTCTGGTAAATATATTTCTGTATTCCGGGTTAGAGATGGATTGTATTTCCATCACTTGTTTTAAAACATTTGGTGACTGTTTCATCACAGAAAAAACAGGATACGAAGAATTATTTTTTTTATTTAGTTTTTTTCTTTTTTTAGCGTCTAGTCCTGGAACCCGTCGATAAAAGTAATTTAAAGCCTTATGGAGTTGATTGTTGTTGCTAGTGTTACTGATTGCTATTTTTTTTTTTCTTTTAATGTTGTAGGGTGGTGTTCAGGTGAAGAAGCTGAAGGAGGAAGAGTCGATTGTGACAAACAAGAAGCCCCGCAAAGCGTTCGCCAACAGCAACATGTTATATGGTCGTTTTGTCAAGGTGCGTTGGGCACTGCAGTTTGGGCCTGGTGTGGGCCATACACTGGGTGATTCTTCAGTGGTCTGATATAGCTGGGTTATTGTAAAGTAAATGGAATATTAAGCCCATTTCTCATTTTGTTTTTAGGGAGCTAAATAAGTTTATTGGCTGTCTGGTGCCAACATGCTTTGAGTGCTTGTGTCAGACAACAATTTTGCACAGAATTCACATTAGCTAACGGTGCAGGTTTTCATAGTGAAACGCTGCACATACAGTCACCATGACCACTTCAAATCACTGGCTGGAGTAAATCAGGGGTGCCCAAAAGGTAGATCCCCAGTTGTTGTAGAACTACAACTCCCATGATGCTTTGCATGCCTTTAGAATGACCAGGCATCATGGAAGTTGCAGTTTTAAAACAGATGGGGACCTACCTTCTGGCCCCCCATTGGAGTTCACCTCTAATGGTTTTTGTTGTTGTCTTTTATTGGCAGTCTGCCACGTTGCTCTCCGGTGGGGAGAAACCCGTAGAAAAATCATCCTCTTCAGAAAGCAGCGATAGTGAAGACGAGGACGAGAAGCTGGATTTGAGTTCTACTACAAAGTATGTAACTTGGTCGGATAGACTGTTTGATGATCTTTGCACTTTTGTTTTTCTTTCACGGTTTTGCATGTTTTTATTTTTCAGTGTGTTTGGATGCTTATTCTGTACATATTTAGCTGTGATCCTCTACAGATGTCCTGTCCATTGATCATGTATTATGTATGTCTGCTAGTATTACGCCATCACAATGGGACAACTGATGGAAAAAACAGTATTCCTTGGACTCTGACACAAGGCATACCATCTAATACTTGCTTTCAGGGACTCTTTTTAGCCCATAAAGCTCAGAGTGTATGAGAGGTGTACTTCCTTGCATATTAGAGATAGCAGCCCCAATTGCAAGATTTCTTGAGTTACATGTGTAATAAAGTTAAGCGGAGGAGCTCCTTCACCCTACGTACTGCTCGGTTGTGCCCCTCACGGACTCCTTTTTTCAGTCCCTCTCCACAATAAATGCATATTGAAGCAGTCTTGTGAGTGGAAAATGCTGCATTTGCAGCTGTGGACATATCAACTACTCAAGCCTCTGTTTAAAAAATTGCTGTACCAGTGTATGCGTACTCCAGTATTCTTGCTGTAGTGCCATACCTGCACATGATTTCGTATGAACAGTACAGCGGGGAAGGGGGATGGGTAAAGAAATTTCATTGTGCACTGGTGAGCCTGGCATATTGACAGTGAGAAATGTAATATTTGTCATATTCATGTCCATCATAGCAATGTATAATTATAGAAGGATTTACCCAGTCTGTTCTCCACCAGCATACTCTATCAATACCAGTAACACATTCTCAAATCATTCATTATTGCTTCCTTTTTATTCTCATAGAATGACAGATGAAGATTTAATAAAGGTTTGTGGAGGCCGCACTGCGCACAAGTAAGTTTATTTCTGGTCAAAGTAATCCGTTTTAAAAACTGCTCCATATTTTACCCTTACTACTACCTATCATATGAAAAAGCTTCAGTTTAATAAATCAAGAAATTTGTTAGCATTTCTTTAAAGGGAAACTCCAGTGCCAGGAAAACAATCCGTTTTCCTGGCACTGCAGATCCCCTATCCCTCCCACCCCCCAATCCCCGGTTGCTGAAGGGGTGAAAACCCCTTCAGTAACTTACCAGAGGCAGCACCTCTTCCTCCGCCGCCGCTCCTCCCAGTGATTGTCCCGCCCACCAGCTGAGACCTAATTCGCATTTATTGCAGTTTATAAAAAACTGCAATAATTACAGTTGCAGGGTTAAGAGTAGTGGGAGTTGGCACCCAGACTACTCCAATGGGTAGAAGTGGTCTGGGTGCCTGGAGTGTCCCTTTATCCATTAGCATTAATCAGTGTTGCCATTTTTCTCTGCTCATTTTAAGCAGAAGATTTTCACCTCATGGAATTTTACTGGCTTTTAAAAACATTTTATGCGCGGAGTTGCTGCCACATGATTCCTGATGATATATTTCCATTAAAGGGACACTATAGGTACCAAGACCACGTCCGCTCACTGAAGTAATCTGGGTACAGCGCCCCTTTTTCAATGTTTACATTGCAGCACAAAGCCCGCCCCCAGTGGCTGTCTACTAGACAGCAACTGGAAGTGCTTCCTGGTTGTTAATGGACCTTTGGTCGCTCTGCACAAGGACATCTAGCGTCAGCTATTTCATAGGAAAACATTGTGTCAGTTTCCTTATCCTTGCAAAGTAAAACATTGCAGCGTTAAGACTGCTTCTGGTGGCTGTCGTCTAGAAAGCCACTAAAGGCACTTCCTGCCCTTTCACAGATTTTAACTCTGTGAAACGATGCTGGACATCATTACGCTTTGTATGAGGGTGTCCAGCGTGTTGCAAATTCCTATAACAAAGCATTATGTGCGCGTCACACACAGCACAGGTCCTTTGGGTTACTCTCATTGCAGACGTCAGAGAAGGTCCCTTGGCACTGGAAAGAGGTATGTGTTTAAAGGTTTGATTTTGAACCCTTACCCTTCCAACAGCAGGGGATCCCATCAGGGCACAACTTTATGGCAGAGGGACACTAGTTTAGGAATACAGTTTTTTATTCCGAACGCTACATTATAAAGGATAATAATGGTATCCTTTAGATTGTAAGCTCACGGGCCATCTAGCCAAGCACTTTGTATAAAAGAGCTCCAATGGCTAGAGATCAGCTTACAGGCAGGGCTCTCTCTACCTCTTGTATTTGTCTGTGTATATTGTATGTTTCTCCACTAATTGTACAGCGCTGCGGAATCTGTTGGCGCTTTATAAATAGCAGTAATAAATAGCAACTAAAAGGGTAAAATAAAGAGTTAAAACAGAATAGTACTCTGCCTGCAATAGTGCAGCTGGACAGGGCATTTTTATTTTTTGATAGAATGTATTCAATTTCACACAACTGCTTTTTTGTTAATTTTTCCTCTCCAGGGGAGCACGGCATGGTCTGACAATGAGTGCAAAGCTTTCTCGACTTGAAGAGCAGGAAAGAGCATTTCTGGAGAAATATGGAAGGAAAGGGCAGAAAACCATAGAGGCACCTGCTGAAGATAACGCGGGGTCTTCTAAAAAGCGCAATAAAAAGCATTCACAGGAGCAAGCAAATGATACAATAAGCATTTCGAGTGAACCTGCATTGCCCAAAAAGAAGAAAAGGAAAAATACAAGGGAACACGGGGGGCTGAAGGGCCATGATGATGAAGTTGAACCATGTGCTGATCAGGATGGTAATGGTACAAAAAGGAATGAAAAGCGTAAAAAGTCGCATCGGAAGGAATCTCCTTCACCAGAGGAACTGGCAGAACAGGACGAAGAAACAATGGACTCACATGTGAAGAGCAAGAAAAAGAAAAAGAAACAAAAAAAATATGCAGAATAACATTGGTCAGACTGTCTTGTCAAGAGTTAACGTAGTTATTTTCTGTAAAGTGTTCTGGTTTTATTTTTAATACAGTTTCATTTACATGAGTTGCCAGGCGAAGTACGTAAACTGGCTAACCCTTGCCGTGTTGTACAGCAATACTGGAGCGTGGGCACTTGTGGTATTTCTCCATTAGATGCCTGAGCACATTCGCAAAGCCACCACAATGCTGCACATTATTTTTACTTGCTTCCATTGGGTTACTCACCTCAGCCGGCAACTTGTACAAACATGAAAGTTTTATTATAGGCTGCTGTGCCATAGAAAGGGGCAGTCATCTAATACCATGTGAACTTTGGAATGAATTCAATTCCTTTTGTATGTACTTTCTCTCCCCATTTAAATGCAATGTATTGGAAACTTTTAACACATTAAATTTATTGCAAGTAAATATGTCAACCTCATTCAAGAGTATATGGTGAAACCACTCCCAATCTAGTCAGATGATTATTATTATTTTTTTTTTTTTAATGTAAATCACCTCAAGGTTTCAAATCCAATTTCAAAGTGCTCAAAACTGCAGATTTAAAGCAACACATTTCTATCCTGATGTCACGGCATAATCTCAGGTAGGCTAAAGTTTCAGGACACAGTCAGTGTCTGGGTACAGAGGGAGGTTCAGCTTGTATTTCTCCTGCAGAGCCATGGGGACAAACCGACCACCCAAGTAATGGTAACGGCCGGTGAAATGATGTGCAGACTGTTTAGGAGCAGTCAGCGAAATAAGCATGTCTGGCTGGATTCCTTCTTTGTTTCCCTTCTCGACATCCCATCCTAAAAATGTTGTAGGGGAACGAAGACAGTTAGACAACGTCGAATAGCAGACATAATCTTTCTAAATATCACGGAATAGTGTCAAGCTGGGAATCTGCATGGGACAGCAAACATACTGTAACAGTATACTAGGAATGTCCCACATTGCTTCATGTTACATTACAATCCCTCGTTTCTAGGATTGGTAGCAGCCGCAGAGCAGAAAATGGGTTTACCTGACGGGATGTCCACACTTGCGATAGGAATGGTGATCTGTTTCAAGGTGTTCAAGATACTTCCAAAGGGTTCTCTTACAGCTCCTTTAAAGCTGAATCCAAAAATGGCATCAATAACCAAACTGTAGGCTCCATCGATCACCTCAGCCTTAATAACAGACATAAAAAAAAAAAAAAGTGTAAGGATTAGCAAGTGGGGAGATGGGACAAACCCTCCAAGATAACTTCATAGGGTGGATGACAGCAGCTAATAAACAGCTTAAAGGAACACTATAGTCACCTAAACAACATTAGCTTAATGAAGGAGTGTTGGTGTATAGATCATGCCTCTCAGGTCTCACTGCTCAATTCTCTGCCATTTAGGAGTTAAATCACTTTGTTTCTGTTTATGCAGCCCTAGCCACACCTCCCCTGGCTATGATTGAGACAGCCTGCATGAGAGAACTGGTTTCACTTTCAAATCAGATGTAATTTATCTTAAAACATTTGTATATTTCTCTGTAAATTTAACTTTAATCACATACAGGAAGCTCTTGCAGGGTCTAGCAATCCATTAACATAGAAAATCGAATTTAAAACAGAACTTGCAATAAAGAAAGGATAAACTTTAGATGACTCTTTACAGCAGCGCTTGACAAATTTGTTTGGAATATAGGAGCCAGCTAAAAAAGTTAGGAGCCAGTCATTTTCAACGAGAGTGTGCAATTCTTAAAGGGACACTATAATCACTAGAACCACTACAGGTTGATGTAGTTGTTCTGGTGTCTATAGCCTGTCCCTGCAGGCGTTTCAGTGTAAACTCTGCCTTTTCTGTGAAAAGGCAGAGTTTACCTTGCTGCTTACTAACATCTCTAGTGACAGTCACTCAGATGGCTACTAGAGAGTCCTGGGTCACTGCTGCAGCACCCAGGTTCAGGGTCTGCATGGAGGCGCTGAATGTTCCTCATAGAGATTAATTAATGTAATGCATCTTTATGAGGAGATGCGGATTGGTACGGTACGTTTGCTGCACATGCACAAAATCCTCCCAATGCTTTCCTAAGCGAAAGCATTGTCTTAGCAGAGATCATAAAGATTGATCATCTCAGCCATTGCAAAACTGGCACGGAGTGGGAAGAAAGGTGAGTAAAAACACCTTCCTCATGCGATCGGAGGGGGCAGGTACCTAAACACGCGCACACACACTTTAACAGGTTCACATACACACATGCTGACAGGCTTGCACACACACACTTTGACAGGCTCTCACACACTTTTATGCTGACAACAGGCTTGCACTCACAAACTGACAGGCATTCACACACACTCTTGACAGGCTCTCTCACATACAGACACTGACAGACACACACACTGACAGGCGCGTGCGCACACACACATTCACACACATTTTTGTTTTAATTGAAACCCACTCAGCCTCCCTACCTTTGGGAGAGCTGAGTTGGACTTTCCTGGGGTCCAGTGGGGCTTCTTGCCGTGTGCAAAGGAGCAGTACTCTGCCTGTAGCTCCTCTCTGCTCCCTCACGCTCTGTAATGATGCCGGTATGATGTCATATCCCGGCTCCCAACATCATTAGACAGCGCGATGGAGCAGAGAGCAGCTGCAAACAGAGTACCCCCCATAATTCTCTTGTGGGCGGACGGCCGCCTCCAATATTCCCCGTGACAGCAGCCGTCAAAGCTCCCTCACTAACTAAAGAGCTGGCAAATCCCAGACGCCAAGGCGAAATTTCTAGTTGCCGTGGCGATCTGGGATTTGTCGAGCCCTGCTTTTACAGGAGGCGTTTAGGAAGGCGTGACTAGGGTTCATAAAAAAGTGATTTAACTCCTAAATGGCAGAGAATTGAGCAGTGAGGCTGTTTTGGTGACTATAGTGTCCCTTTATTTATTCTGCCAAAAACAGAGCTAGAAAATAGCAGAGAAGGAGGATTATTGCAATTCGAAATTCAAGTTTTATTCCTACTCCCATAAGAGGCGTAGGCTCCCATTACCCACAAGGCAATGCAGTTTTTTTTTTTTTTTTTTTAACAGATAATGCACAAATATAATTGACCCTTTCCAAGTGAGTTTGCCACAAGTTCCCAGAGGAGCCCTCTTGCCAGCCTCCTGCCTACAGACCCTGTAAAATGTGATGTGAAAGCCTCCGTTCGTGTATTTGGACTATATGGTTCAGGAACCGAACAGCTGCACGAACCGACTAATTGCTACTTTGTACCAATTTCCACCATAGTGTTCGTCTGGGTGGCAGCCATCTTGTTTGCATAAAACCAGGCAGCGATGTTTGGTCGAGATCATGGAACTATTTTCGGACACTGAAACTGCCGAACACCGCTGGACTTCCAATATCGTCTGGGTTCAGTTCTACAACACTTAGAAAGGTGCTGTTCGGTGGAAACATTCCCACGAACTGGGGGAACAAGCTCCATAGTAAGAACACTATGTTCGGTTTTTTAACTACCGAACTAGACCAACTGCAAGCCCTGATTCTCTGGAACTGTTGTGGGCATGGGACCATGCAGGTAGTCGGTCAAACAAATGACTTCCAGGAAATTCCTGAACCGATCTGGGTGATTTTTGGATATGTTGGTCACCTAGATCGGTGCTATCAGGGGATGTAATTTTTCTGGGGTTTTATGTATTTTTAAGGTACTTTTGGTGTGTTTTGGAAATGAGTTTTTTGTACCTGGAGATAATGGAGTTTAATATAGAGTTTGACTCTATATCCCACAGGCACAGGGGGAGGGATTATCTTATGTATGGGAGTGTCCTGGATCTGAGAGCCAATGTAATTGTGTATTTGTTTCTACTCTGGTTTACTCTGGGGGGTGAAGGAAGAGCGGGAGGGAGAGAGAGTGGCCCTTGCATGGGGACATGCATATAAGGCCAGTTGTAGCTGCCAATAAAGGTATTCCAGCTTGTACTCCCAGAACTAAGTATCGTCTGGTTACTGGGAAGGGAAAGGGCTACTCTTTAATCACTGTTCCAGTGTGGAGGATTCAACAGGGAAAGTCCTTGTAAGGACTAGAGCTCCCAGGACTGAGTGTCGTCCAGTGCCGGGGGGTGGATAGAGCGAGTTCCCCATTTGGTTCCAGGACCCCAGTCAAGCCACAGCGACTCTGGGCAGAAGTGCTGCGGTTTGTCACCTGTTCCAGCTAGGAAGCGGTCCTTGGCGGAGGTACATTGAGCTCCGTTACAATCATTTTCTAGCACAACAGGTGTGACATAGTGGGGGCACTTACTAAAGTATAATTTAAATGAGGGATTATACTTTCCCCAACTAATGTGAGAAATTGACACAGCAGGATGGAGACTATACTTGTCAACAAATTAAATTCCTGCTAATCTAAGCCCAAACGAATCAGTCTTTCCGAGATTTACCTAGTAAGTCTTATATAAAACTCAACCGGTAAATACAGGACAGATAGTTTCGCAACAGCTGAAAAGCATTAAGAGACACGTCTAATGGAAGCTCATAGTGAATTTTAACTTTATGGTCAAACTAGCCGAACTGGAAACATAGCCAACTTTGAGAATTCAAATAGCTGAACTGGGAAAAAATGTGTCTATAGTGAATAACACTTTAAGGCTGCCATAGAGCGGTGGGAAGAAAAATTCTGAACATGTCAAAGTTTGTGAAGGAATTAATAGGGGCAGTGTAAGATGTACTGATAAAATAGCAGGAGATGGTGAAATTGGAGCGTAAAATGGCATGTAACATAAGACTGGCAGAAATTGTAGTGAGTAAGCCAAGTTGGTCCCGGGTACATTTTTATGAATGCCTAGCACGGCCAATCAAAAGCACAAAATCTAAATTTGGTACAAGTGATGTAGAAACCAGTTTGCTTTGCATTTATTACTCGAGGCTGGACGAAATATATTTAGAGTTTTATCAACAAACCTCTTGAGGAAACTCAGGCAGAAATGGGATGTCCATTTTTCTGCATTGTGTACATAGATTTTCAAATAGAGTTTTGTTAGGCTGCTTTGGGTAAAATATAGCTGGTTCATATCCCTGGGAACAGAAGATAAGGTATTAGTGGATTTAAAACAAACACTTTGTCTTTGATTTAATATGGTTTGATTAACTTTCTATTTAAAAATATGAAATCATTTGAAAAAGCTTGTCCAGCAATATTAAATTGAGGCATTTATCAACAAATCAGTAAAAAAATTAAATATTTTCATTAAATCATCTTACCAGGATCAGTGAATATACAAACAATGCATTTGAATTTACAGACCACCTCTGCAATCTGTATGTTGAAAACACTGGTAGCCAATTAAATAGGTTACACCATCAATTACACAAAATATGCAGTTTCTCTGTAAACTCCCAAAAATACAAGGAAAAAATGTTGCTCTCTTATTTTAATTCATGTATCCATACAATTCAATTTAAAGGGACACTTTAGTCACTAGAACAACTACAGTTTAAATGTAGTTGTTCTGGTGAGTATAATCATTGTCTTCAGGCATTTTATGGGGGAGTGCTGCCGTTCAGCGTCCCCACACTCTGGATGGAAACGTTGCATCTTCCTCATAGAGATGCATGGATTCAATGCATCTCCATGAGGAGGTGCTGATTGGCCAAAACAGCGTTTGGTCTCAACCCCATGATGATTTCAGCCAATCCAATGTATGGGAAAGTATTGGATTAGCTAAAAATCGTAAATTCTGATGATGTCACCAAGGAGGAAGATTGGTGGCAGGGCTAGCTTTCAGGTAGCGTAATCAAATTTGATTGTGTAATAAACTGAATTAAGGGGGGCTATATGTAACATTAAGTGGAAACACATATTTTCCAAGGGAGTTATAACGTTCCCCTTCTCAGCCCCAGCTCAATCAAAGAAAATTGAGAATTATTTTTTTGCTGCTACAAAGAGCAGTAATGGCACAGCTCTGACATGACAACTGGTGGACTGATCACAACAGCAAACGCAGTGCCAAAGGTTAGACATTACTGCTATTGCAAAACTACAACTCCCACGATGCCTTGCCAGAATCATTCCACCATATACAAAATAGCCTCCCTCCCCATAGGGCACGGGTAGGCAACCTTTGGCACTTCAGATGTTGTGGAGTACATCTCCCATAATACTCCTACACGCAGAATGCTGGCAAAATGTCATGAAAGGTGTAGTCCAAAACATCTGGAGTGCTGAAGGTTGCCTATGCCTGCCATAGGGCATCTGCAGATAACCTCTGGCCTAGAACGTCAGACTGGTTTTTCAGTACTGCAGATGAATAATAAAACTTACAAATAGTTTAAGGTGTCTGGCACACACCAGGCCGTCCCCTCCATTGTTCCCTGGACCACACACCACAAGCACAGAGGGAAGGTTTGAAGTGAAGGAGCTGATTGGATAGGCCTGAAATGATATAGAACATATTACATCAATTACTAAAACAAAAAAACAAAAACATTTACTAAAATTGTAATTAACCCTCATTAAAATGCATCATTTAGAATTAGAGAATACATTAAAAAGAAAAAAAAAAAAACAAATGAAAATGTTATATACTAATAAATACACAGGGATCTCTCTTCATACCAGGAAGTGACGTTGTATATCCGATGGATCCCATTCCAGCAGGGGGTTTAATGGGTATAACACTCAGATCAAGGCAACAGATTCAATCATATGAAAGACATGAGTGAACTACGGTACAAGCCACTCATTAGTTGCTAAAAGAGCACTACAGAAACCAAGCAAACTTTAGCTTAAAGGGACACTCCAGGGAGGCTGCACCTGACTTCCGATGCAAATGGCAACTTCTTGTTAGAGCTCTGTACCACCAGGCGACACTACAGCTATTAATAGCAGTAATTGCCGACATCCTTACCCCAATACCCGACCCGATCACCAGCAAACAAACCTCAGTATGGTAGGCGGAAGGAAATCAAAACACGGGACCTCCGTGGCGCTGGTATTCCGCAGCCGCTCGGAGAGACAGACGCCTAGGCTAGAGGACCCGCCAGAGTCAGGGACTGACTCAGAAGCCTGTGAGGTTAGTCCCGGTGCCTCACCCGTCACACGTGGGGATTTAAAAGGGCTCCTGAGAGACATCAAAGCAAACATGGCCTCTAAACTCACTAGACACCTGGCCCCCATCAAGGAAGGCCTGGATGACCTAAAACAGTGCACTGTAGTAGTGGAGGAGAAAATGGAGGATGTCACCTCCACAACCTCAGCACATGGCAGAGCCCTCATGGCATCCAAGATAGACTGATATCACTAGAAGTCGCAAATAAAAGGTCACAGCGCAATAATATTAGAATTAGGGGGATCCCAGAAATGGTCACCATGGACACACTCCACATCAACCCCCCCCCTTCCCCCCGGTTGAACTTTTTCTGGACAGGGCACACAGAGCACCCTCTGCCACCGCCAGCAAACCACGAGACGTCATAGTGCGCCTTCACTACTTCCATGTGAAGGAGGCATTGATGAGAGCATCTAGGGACACCCCCTTACAAATTAAAGGCCACCAAGTCCAATTCTACCAGGACCTGGCACCAAGCCTCTACGCAAAAGAAGGGAATTAAGACCCCTCACCCAAGCCCTCACTCAGAGGATATGGTACGCCTGGGGGCACCCTTTCAAACTAATGGTCCTTCACGACAACCAAATGCTTACTCTACACGATGTGGCGGAAGCCCAGGACATTGCGGCCCAACTAGGTCTCCCAAACCTCTGCATGGAAGCACATCAACCACCCCAGGAGTTGCAAACAGCCCGAAGACCTCAGTGCCCAGACCACCAACGCTCACAATCTTCCAACTAAGGAGGCCCAAAACCTGACCTCCAGCTCCTGAACTCAACCAAGATGAAGAACAAACAAGCAGCAAACTCACCCGACAACGCCTGCACATCCTAGACTTTCCCCTACGCCTACTATGCTGTACACGTTGACTCTGGCTCCCTCACAGAGATAAGCATGCATCCCCACTCTCAACGATGTATACTAGATAACAGAACATTACAGTCCTGCTATGTATAACCCCGTACCTGCGCTCCCATTCCTTGGCTTATCTGCTAGATTGTTTTATTATTATTTTTTTTTAATGTATCCCAGTAACCAACAAGACGCACATGTCACCCAATAATGGTATCCCACACCAATTATTTAGATAGCATGAACCAACACGCAGCCACTCACCCAAACAACTCAACAGGGCGACGAACACACAACTAACCCCCTCACAAAATACCTATCACCTGCCATAGAAGCAAACACACAATGTACGCTACAAAAAAGAATGGAAACTCTCATACACACATACACATGCAAACAATCAGCGATACTGAATGTTTGGGTGCATTTTAGGCAGCCATGACCCAGGAAGGATCTCTAACAGCCATCTTTTGAGCTGAAGGTAATGATTCTACGCACCAGAACAAATTCAATAATCTGTAGTTGTTCTGGTAACTATAGTGTCCCTTTAACCCCTTAAGGACACATTACATGTTTGACATGTCATGATTCCCTTTTATTCCAGAAGTTTGGTCCTTAAGGGGTTAATGTCGTATGAATATGTATGAATGAAAAATGTTTCTTGGCAAGTTATCTATGTTTATTCTGATAGCCCAAACGAGGTGCAGGAATATATTCCCTCCCCTACATAAAACAGTCCCCCTTCCCCCCTTTTTCCCCCATTCACTTCACCTTTTCCTCCCCCTCCCTTCACCCCACCTCCTACCCCCAATGCCACCCCTCACCACAAGCTCAGTGGTGACAGCTTAAAAGAGACAATCATACAAGCACTGAGGACCCTCACAAACCAGGCCCTCTCGAACTTAGAACCGTAGCGTCAACAAAACGTCCTGAGGAACCCCTCCACCAACAACCCCACCTGTGGCCACACTCCTCAGAGATCGCAAAACTTGACGCGTGGGAACTGATGGGGTCACTAGCATCCAGGCCTTCCCCCACCCTCTACCTCCCAATAGGGGGGCTAGTGTGGGGGAGACACCGCTGGGGGCCCCACGCCTTAACACATACAAGGCAATTGCTTAAATTCTCCGCACACGCCTGGGGACGACTTTGACCAGGGACGATCACCACAGTCTATAAACAACTTTCCCACCACTACCAACTTAGGGGAGCGGTTGGACGACGTCCCCACATTCTACTGGCACTTATAAGCGCAGTAGCTCAACTCTTCACACCTCGCTACCACCCAAACTCACCCAACCCTCAACCCACGGTCCTGCACCCAACCCACCCTCCTGGGACAAAGGGACACTCCACACACCCAGACCTCTTTAGCCCATTGCAGTGATCTGGGTGCAAACTCCCATCACCCTTAACCCTACAAGTGTAATTATTGCAGTTTTTTAAACTACAATAATTATACTTGCAGGGTTAAGTCCTCCTCTAGTGGCTGTCTATCAGACAGCCACTAGAGGGACTTCTGGCTTCTAAGAACACGAAAAAAGTGTTTTAATGACGCTGGACGTCCTTACGCTATGCATGAGTACCTCCAGCGTCACCGGAATCCCCATAGGAAAAGCATTGAATAATGCTTTCCTATGTGGAGGTCTAACGTGCGCGTGGCCATTGCCGCGCATGCGCATTAGGTCTCCCCCGCCGGCTGACGTCGGCGAGGGAGGAGCGTGGGCGGAGCCTGATCCAGTACCGAGGGACATCGGTGCTAGATTCAGGTAAGTCACTGAAGGGGTTTTAACATGAAATGGGGGGTGGGAAGGAGGAGGGCACTGCAGGAGGGTTTGTTTTCCTGGCACTGAAGAGTCCCTTTAATGTATAGATTATGCACCTTCTGTCTCAGTGCTCAATTCTCTGCCATTTAGGAGTAAAATCACTTGGTTTATATGGGCTACATAAACAAAGTAATTTAAAGGACCACTATAGGGTCAGGAACAAAAACATGTATTCCTGACCCTATAGTGTTAAAACCACCATCTAGCCCCCCTGGGCCCCTCATGCCTCCATAAATATAGAAACATCTTACTGTATTCAAGCCTGAAGCTGTAACTCTGCATGCTGTTAGACTCAGAAAAAACAAACAGTCTGATTGCCTCATCAGAATTGGTAGCCTGATCCAATCACAATGCTTCCCCATAGGATTGGCTGAGACTGACAAGGAGGCAGATCAGGGGCAGAGCCAGCACAGTTCAAACACATCCTTGGCCAATCAGCATCTCCTCAGAGAGATGAATTGAATCAATGAATCTCTATGAGGAAAGTTCAGTATCTGCATGCAGAGGGAGGAGACACTGAATGTTTGGATGCATTTTAGATCTCCAACAGCCATCTGAGGATCTCCAAAAGCCATCTGAGGAGTGGCCATTGAAGTTATCACTAGGCTGTAATGTAAACACTACATTTTCTCTGAAAAGACAGTGTTTACAGCAAAAAGCCTGAAGGGAATGATTCTACTCACCAGAACAAATTCAATAAGCTGTAGATGTTCTGGTGACTATAGTGTCCCTTTAACTCCTAAATGACAGATAATGGAGCACTGAGACCGCTGGGGCAGTCACACCTCCCTGCATGTTGCTTACAGTCTGCCTAAACTATAATTGTAAAATGAGATCTAATGTTTACACTTCCTTTATTGCACATTCTGTTTAATTTAGAATTTTTTATCCCCTGTACTGTTAATAGAAGGCTAGAGCTTGCAGAAGGGCGTCAGATTAAAGTACAATTTGCGGAGCAGGAATAAAAACCTCTAAAGTTAGTTAACAACCGATTAAAAATGACACCATTTTGTTGTCATACAGGCTGTCAGTCACAGCCAGGGGAGGTGTGGCTAGGGCTGCTTAAACAGAAACAAAAGTGAGTAAACTCCTAAATGGCAGAGAATTGAGCAGTGAGACTTTAGAGGCGTGATCTATACACCAACACTGCTTCAATCCTATAGCAAAGCATTGTGAGGCAATTGAAACAATGCATCTCTATGAGGAGCGTGGATATGCTGAACCCTATTGCTGCACACTGCGCACCACTGGACTAGGAAGCCAATAGAGATGTTACAAACCAGCAATGTAAACACTGCCTTTTCTCTGAAAAGCCAGTGTTTACAGTGCTAAGGCTGCAGGGACAGGCTATAGACACCAAAACCACTACATTAAGCTTTAGTGGTTCTAGTGACTATAGTGTTCCTTTAAACCCAACATTTTACCAGCTCAGTGTGAACAGTTATTTACCTTGGCTATGGCAGTGGCACAGCTTAATCCAGCCAGCTCCATGAGTTGGTCCACGCTGAACTTGTATTCATTGAAAAGCTCCTCATCCACTGCTTGGGCTTCCTCCTGGCTGGAACAGACATGTTTGGTAAGTATCTATAGCAGTGGCTAGCAAACAGTGTGCCACGACTTGGCTTGAGGACAGTATATCTCTATAGATATGACATTTAAGAACAAAGCAAGTGTATTGGAAATGTTTCTTGCACTGAAGTGTGCCTTGGTCCAAAAAAGGTTGAGAACCACTTATTCATGAACATCTGGATATCTAATGGGATAGATACATGGCACTGCAGAGTGGCAGATATAATAGGACAGTATAAACAATAAATTACCTTATATACTCGAGTATAATTTAGCATTTTTTTGTGCTGAAAACCCCCCACTCGACTTATAGTGTGTATTATGGCAATTTACATTGCCATAATACAGACAAGGACCGCCGGACTCATTACAAGCCTGGCGGTCCTGTTGGGGGCTGGCAGAGAGCTGTAACTTACCTTTACAGCAGCTCCTGTCAGCTCCCTTCTCTCTCCTCCGTTCCGGTCAGCTCCCCTGTAAATCTTGCGAGAGCCATGGGGAACGCTCCGCGCGGCTGCAAGACTTACAGTGGAGGAGGAGGGTGCCGACCGGAACTGAGGAGAGAAAAGGGAGCTGCAGGAAAGGTAAGTAACAGCTCTCTGCCAGCCCCCCTCCTGCACAGCCTATCCACTGGACCACCATGGAATGAGAGCCCCCCTCCCTGGCCAGCTAACAAGCAGGGAGGGGGGACAAAAATAAATAAAAAATAATAATATAATAAAAAAATATTAATATATATTTAAAAAAATAATTAAAAAATAATAAAAATGCCCACCCCCCCACCAAGGCTCTGCATCACATACACACACTGCATTATATACACACAGACACTGCATTAATTATATACACACACACTGTAAATAAATATTCAATTAATATAATTTTTTTGGGGGGGGATCTAATTTTATTTAGAAATTTATCAGTAGCTGCTGCATTTCCCACCCTAGTCTTATACTCGAGTCAATAAGTTTTCCCAGTTTTTGGGGGAAAAATTAGGGGTCTCGACTTATATTCGGGTTGACTTATACTCGAGTATATACACGGTACTTCATATCTACAAATTTCAAGACACATTTAGACTCAAGTTTTACCACATTGTTCCTCTACCAGTCATTCAAACATACAGTATAATGGCTGCCACGTCGTCCTGGACACATTAAGTTTGCCTGTTTATGGGCAATATTCACACATTTACATCTCATGGAAAAGGTGCACTTTATGTCTCCACTGGCTAGTTCGTGGGGCACTGAGGCTGTCCAATAAGGCATGGATAACATCTTGTTAGGGTCATGAAGGGATTAGGAAGGCTAGGTATGGGGGTGCTTATGGATATGCACAGAGACACGTTGGGGTTAAGTCTGGGGGTGCAAAGGGACCTGCTGGGATTAGGTTTGGGGGTGCACAGGGACATGCTGGGGTTAGGTTTGGGGGTGCACAGGGACATGCTGGGTTTGGGGGTATATAGGGACATGCTGGGGGTTGGGGTGATTAGTTATGGGGAGACTCTGGGTTAGGTTTGGGGGTGATTAGTTGGGGGGGACTCTGGGTTAGGTTTTGGGGGACTCTGGGTTGGGGTTGGGGGGGACTCTGGGTTGTTTGGGACCTGGGTTACTTGGGGGCTCTGGTATGGTTTTGGGGGGACTCTGGGTATGGTTTTTGGGGGACTCTGGGTCTGGGTATGGTTTTGGGGACTCTGGGTATGGTTTTGGGGGACTCTGGGATGTTTTGGGGGGACTCTGGGTATGGTTTTTCTGGCATGGGGGGGACTCTGGGTATGGTTTTGGGGGACTCTGGGTATGGTTTTGGGGGACTCTGGGTATGGTTTGGGGGACTCTGGGTATGGTTTTGGGGGACTCTGGGTATGGTTTTGGGGGGACTCTGGGTATGGCTTTGGGACTCCTGCATGGTTTGGGGACTCTGGGTATGGTTTTGGGGGACTCTGGGTTAGTTTTGGACTGGGTTAGGTTTTGGGGGGGACTCTGGGTTGGGTTTTGGGGGACTCTAGGGGTTGGGTTTTTGGGGGGGGTTAGGTTCTGGGTTGGGTTTTGGGGGGACTCTGGGTTAGGGTTTGGGGTACTCTGGGTTAGGTTGGTTAGGTTTTGGGGGGGGACTCTGGGTTAGGTTTTGGGGGTGCACAGGGAGACTCTGGGTTGGGGAATGAGGTCCTGGTTCCAGGTGGGATGGAGGGTGCTGTTTTGGAGGGGGAGCCCCTGCAGCCCACATGTCCAGTGGTGTGCTGGCTGAGCACTATGGGAGTCACAGTCCAGGGAGGGACCCTCACCTGAGGTATTTCAGCCCCCCCGCCATGTCTGGCCCCGCTCGGTACTTCCTGCAGGGCGCGCCCCCGCCTCCCGTCACTCCAGCAATGCGCGCGCACGTGTCCGCCCTGGCTCCCAGGCGCGCGCCCCCGACCAGCAGGCCCAGACCGAGCAGAGCGCGCAGCCCCAACATCCGGTCCGAGGGCAGAGCGCAACTTCCGGAAACTCACTGCGCATGCGCATTATCAGCACGTGGGAACTGAGCAAACTGAGCACGTGGGGTGGGAACAGAGCACGTGGGGTGGGAGGGGGAGCTGGAAACATAGTGCCAGTGTATAGTGCCAGTACTGTCTGTGTATGTTAATGTGATGGAATTTCTGTGAAATGTAAATTTAGTAGGCCGAGATTTGGCGTATGTGTATGTTGCATCAGTTAGTTAGTTACATTTAGCTAAGATACTGTCATCAATATACTGAGCATGTGCAGGAATGCAGGAACCGAAATCACATTCCTTTCTCCTTTGTTTCGGATGAGGCATGTGGTCTGCCCATATGAGGAAATCCAAATCCTGTCCACTGATTGGTTAAGGGTATGTGCAGGTGGAGCTATTAATAGGAGGAGTTATAGTTCTATAAAAAGCATGTACTCCATGTGTTCGGCCCTCAGACCTGTTTTGGAACGTTAGTTCATCTGAGACCCGGTCCGTATGTTAATAAAGACCTCTTACTTCCTGAAAACCTGCATCCATCTCGGTCTGGCTTCTGCAAGTTTACTCGGTTACATCTTTGGTGCATTGGCCGGGAACCTCATCGCACGGAAGCTGGCGCAGAGATTTGAGACTGTAAACTTTTTACCAACGCTCTCTACGGCCGCACCCCTGAACTTCTGCGTGGACATCCCTTCATCGCGGCGCCACTGGGCTGCTTCGCCCAGGAGATCATCGGCCTTTACGTAGTAAGTACCGGGGTGCCCCGTCGATGAGTGTGAGCCCAGGTTCAGGAACAAAGAGGTAAGACTGATAGCGTTAGAGCGGTAGGCCCACAAGGGGTTTTATATTTGGAACCAGGTTATTGGATTGCCTCCTCCCTCTAGAGGGAAGAAGCGAAGGCGCAACCCTTATCTGGAAATTAGACGCTCTGTAGTCAGCCCGTCTAATATAAATGGTTTGGGTCAGGCTAAATCTTAGTGTAAATAGTTTATGCCAGAAACCGGTGTCCTGTCTTGACTAGCGTGTCTAGGTGTAAATTTCGGTCGCTAGGTCGGGGAGGCCGGCGAGACTAAGCAAATTTTGGTGTACATTCCGTCTGCTAATTCTCAACCTATCTTGGCTAAGTGTGCCCGGTTGTAAATTCAGCTACTAGACTATTGATAGAGTAGATAGACTAAATGGGTACTGTTATAAATTCCGCCCACTAGTTCGCTATATGTGGTGCTTGGGCAGCGTAGACTAACCGAATCCTGGTGTAAATAGTTCAGTAGTTCTCGAGGTGCTGGCCAATTAGAATATTGTAATTGTTGTTAAATATACTGTAGTTGGTGAATTGTATGTCCTGCTAGAAAGCTTGAGCTCTGCCGTCTAGTGGGAGTGTAAATTGTGTGTATACTGTATAATAGCGCACAGTATTATAACCATTAACATGTACGATAACTACTGACGTTGTGTAAAAATTACTAAAAACTGTTGTCTTATGTTATATGTGTAACACCATAACTGTTACTAACTGATCTGTGACTTTAAAACTGTATTATAACCACTTGCTAACCGTACCATAACCACTGATTGTAAAGATGAGGTTACTAGAATGTGATGTAGTCGGTCAGTTAAAAGTTGATTTATAATGTGGATAATTGTACGGTTTGATTTATAGTTACAGAGATAAGTATCTAGTGTTTGGTAAATCTTTGTGAGTGAGACGTCGTGATATCACTGTATGTACGAGAATTCTCTGCGTGTTTTCGTGTGTGTATGTTTGGCCTAGCAACTGTGCCACGTGGTGCTGTTGCCAGGGAAACAAGTGTGATCATTGGAAGTGTGTTCTGGGTATTGTGTTTCTTTGTATTAGACACTCCTTTGCCAGTATGGGTGCGTCTGACTCAGAGATTGTTGATCCCTTGTCGTGTATGTTGAAAAACTTTGCAAAGGGATATAAAGTTTGTGATTTGGGGGTGAAATTATCCCCAAAATCAGGCCAATCCAGCTGCATGGGCTGCAGCCCATTATCCAAATGTTGACCCAAATTGGAATGTGAATGGTGCTGACATGCCCCAATTAAGGGCTTATCGGGAAGCCATTATTGCTGGCATGAAGGCAGGAGGCTTGCGCAGAGATTTGAGACGGTAAACTTTTTACCAACACTCTCTACGGCAGCACCCCTGAACTTCTGCGTGGACATCCCTTCATCTCTGCGCCACTGGGCTGCTTCGCCCAGGAGATCATCGGCCTTTACGTAGTAAGTACTGGGGTGCCCCGTCGATGAGTGTGAGCCCAGGTTCAGGAACGAAGAGGTAAGACTGATAGCGTTAGAGCGGTAGGCCCACAAGGGGTTTTATATTTGGAACTAGGTTATTGGATTGCCCCCTCCCTCTAGAGGGAAGAAGCGAAGGCGCAACTCTTATCCATAATTAGACGCTCTGTAGTCAGCCCGTCTAATATAAATGGTTTGGGTCAGGCTAAATCTTAGTGTAAATAGTTTATGCCGGACACCGGTGTCCTGTCTTGACTAGCGTGTCTAGGTGTAAATTTCGGTCGCTAGGTCAGGGAGGCCGGCGAGACTAAGCAAATTTTGGTGTACATTCCGTCTGCTAGTTCTCAACCTATCTTGGCTAAGTGTGCCCGGTTGTAAATTCAGCTACTAGACTATTGATAGAGTAGATAGACTAAATGGGTACTGTTGTAAATTTCGCTCACTAGTTCGTTATATGTGGTGCTTGGGCAGCGTAGACTAACCAAATCCTGGTGTAAATAGTTCGATAGTTCTCGAGGTGCTGGCCAATTAGAATATTGTAAATGTTGTTAAATATACTGTAGTTGGTGAATTGTATGTCCTGCTAGAAAGCTTGAGATCTGCCGTCTAGTGGGAGTGTAAATTGTGTGTATACTGTATAATAGCGCACAGTATTATAACCATTAACATGTACGATAACTACTGACGTTGTGTAAAAATTACTAAAAACTGTTGTCTTATGTTATATGTGTAACACCATAACTGTTACTAACTGATCTGTGACTTTAAAACTGTATTATAACCACTTGCTAACCGTACCATAACCACTGATTGTAAAGATGAGGTTACTAGAATGTGATGTAGTCGGTCAGTTAAAAGTTGATTTATAATGTGGATAATTGTACGGTTTGATTTATAGTTACAGAGATAAGTATCTAGTGTTTGGTAAATCTTTGTGAGTGAGACGTCGTGATATCACTGTATGTACGAGAATTCTCTGCGTGTTTTCGTGTGTGTATGTTTGGCCTAGCAACTGTGCCACGTGGTGCTGTTGCCAGGGAAACAAGTGTGATCATTGGAAGTGTGTTCTGGGTATTGTGTTTCTTTGTATTAGACACTCCTTTGCCAGTATGGGTGCGTCTGACTCAGAGATTGTTGATCCCTTGTCGTGTATGTTCAAAAACTTTGCAAAGGGATATAAAGTTTGTGATTTGGGGGTGAAATTATCCCCAAAATCAGGCCAATCCAGCTGCATGGGCTGCAGCCCATTATCCAAATGTTGACCCAAATTGGAATGTGAATGGTGCTGACATGCCCCAATTAAGGGCTTATCGGGAAGCCATTATTGCTGGCATGAAGGCAGGAGGCTTGCGCAGAGATTTGAGACGGTAAACTTTTTACCAACACTCTCTACGGCAGCACCCCTGAACTTCTGCGTGGGCATCCCTTCATCTCTGCGCCACTGGGCTGCTTCGCCCAGGAGATCATCGGCCTTTACGTAGTAAGTACTGGGGTGCCCCGTCGATGAGTGTGAGCCCAGGTTCAGGAACGAAGAGGTAAGACTGATAGCGTTAGAGCGGTAGGCCCACAAGGGGTTTTATATTTGGAACTAGGTTATTGGATTGCCCCCTCCCTCTAGAGGGAAGAAGCGAAGGCGCAACTCTTATCCATAATTAGATGCTCTGTAGTCAGCCCGTCTAATATAAATGGTTTGGGTCAGGCTAAATCTTAGTGTAAATAGTTTATGCCGGACACCGGTGTCCTGTCTTGACTAGCGTGTCTAGGTGTAAATTTCGGTCGCTAGGTCGGGGAGGCCGGCGAGACTAAGCAAATTTTGGTGTACATTCCGTCTGCTAGTTCTCAACCTATCTTGGCTAAGTGTGCCCGGTTGTAAATTCAGCTACTAGACTATTGATAGAGTAGATAGACTAAATGGGTACTGTTGTAAATTTCGCTCACTAGTTCGTTATATGTGGTGCTTGGGCAGCGTAGACTAACCAAATCCTGGTGTAAATAGTTCGATAGTTCTCGAGGTGCTGGCCAATTAGAATATTGTAAATGTTGTTAAATATACTGTAGTTGGTGAATTGTATGTCCTGCTAGAAAGCTTGAGCTCTGCCGTCTAGTGGGAGTGTAAATTGTGTGTATACTGTATAATAGCGCACGGTATTATAACCATTAACATGTACTATAACTACTGACGTTGTGTAAAATTACTAAAAACTGTTGTCTTATGTTATATGTGTAACACCATAACTGTTACTAACTGATCTGTGACTTTAAAACTGTATTATAACCACTTGCTAACCGTACCATAACCACTGATTGTAAAGATGAGGTTACTAGAATGTGATGTAGTCGGTCAGTTAAAAGTTGATTTATAATGTGGATAATTGTACGGTTTGATTTATAGTTACAGAGATAAGTATCTAGTGTTTGGTAAATCTTTGTGAGTGAGACGTCGTGATATCACTGTATGTACGAGAATTCTCTGCGTGTTTTCGTGTGTGTATGTTTGGCCTAGCAACTGTGCCACGTGGTGCTGTTGCCAGGGAAACAAGTGTGATCGTTGGAAGTGTGTTCGGGGTATTGTGTTTCTTTGTATTAGACGCTCCGTTGCCAGTATGGGTGCGTCTGACTCAGAGATTGTTGATCCCTTGTCGTGTATGTTGAAAAACTTTGCAAAGGGATATAAAGTTTGTGATTTGGGGGTGAAATTATCCCCAAAATCAGGCCAATCCAGCTGCATGGGCTGCAGCCCATTATCCAAATGTTGACCCAAATTGGAATGTGAATGGTGCTGACATGCCCCAATTAAGGGATTATTGGGAAGCCATTATTGCTGGCATGAAGGCAGGAGGGAAGAAGGCAATCAATATGTCAAAGACGGCTGAGGTGTTGCAAAAGGTTGATGAGTCACCTAGTGCCTTTTATGAAAGATTATTGGAGTCATATAGATTGTATACTCCTTTTAATCCAGAGGCCCCTGAGAATTCTCGAATGATTAGCTCAGCATTTTTCAGCCAGGCCCAAGGTGATATTAAAAGAAAATTGCAACAGTTAGAGGGATTTGTAGGGATGTCCATATCACAGCTAATGGAGATCGCAAATAAAGTATATATGAATAGGGAAACTGAGATAAAGCGGGAGGAAGAACGTAAAATGAGGAAGAAGGCAGATATGCTAGCGGTAGCTATCACAAGTGTAGAAAGACAGGGAAGGGAGGTGAATAAAGGAGTCAAGAATAGGCTGAGTAAGGGACCTTTAAGTAGGAATCAATGTGCGTTTTGTAGAGAGGAAGGACATTGGAAGAATGAGTGTCCACAGAGAGAGACAAGGAAAGAGAAGAGTACGGGGAAGTTATAGTGGTAGTTATAGAGGAAGGAAGTTTTGGAGGGAACGGTAGGAATAGTAGAGGGAGTGTTCAAGGAGATAGATATTATCCACCTACTCAGAGACCAAGAGATAGAGAGGATAGAGATTTTGTGGGTCTGGCTGACACTATCATGGAAGACTATTGATACCGAACGGGCTCCATCACCCTTGGCCGAGCGGAGCCTATGGTCGATGTAGCAATAGGGGGAAAGAGAAGTTCTTTCATGATTGACACTGGTGCTGAACATTCCGTGGTGACTAAACCGGTGGCTCCTCCTTCAGGAAAAACTATAACTGTGATAGGAGCTACTGGGAGAAGCGCAGCTAGACCGGTTCTTAAAAGTCGCACTTGCATTCTGGGAGGCCATTTGGTGAAGCACCAGTTCCTATATATGCCAGAGTGTCCGATTCAACTTCTAGGACGAGATCTATTATCGAAGCTTCAAGCCCAGATAACTTTTCTACCCAATGGATCAAAGTCTCTGAGGTTTAATGGATTACCAGGCACAATGGCGGTATCAGTGCCAAGGGAAGAAGAATGGCGCTTCTACTCCATAATGACAAGTGTAAACCCTAAGAGTGATGAACCTTTATTTGACATTCCTGGTGTGATGAGACCAATCTCGCCACATTGCATTGGAGAAGCCTGGTTGCCCGCCTGTTGCCTCTGGACTATGGTCCCATGTTAAAAAGCTTGATTTTCCCCTGCAAAGACACGAAAGCCGGGTCATTCGGTGCTTGCCCTGTTTGAGCGGTGATACCCCAGATAGCTATGCCATGGAGCCCATTCGTATAATGAAAGACTATGGGAAAGACTTTGGCTCCATGGCAATTGAGCTGTATGTGTGTGCTCTGAGCGCCATTCAGTAATAATGTGCGCTCAGATCTGAGCTATCTGGGGATATGTTTAATGTACCTGTTTTGTGCAATGGCTGCACAGTTATATGTTTTTATGTGTTTTATTGTCTTTTGCTGCCATGTGTTCAATGAAGTTTTGCCTCTGTCTTTGGAGATAATTGGATTACTTCCCAATTATCTCCAGGATAGAAAACTCTGTGGAACTGGTTTTGGGCAGAAAAGCCATGCTTCCTTTGGTCACAAAGGACTACGATCTATCTTTTGAACCACTGGACCAATTTGGATGATTTTGACATATGTTTGTATTTGGAGTATGCTGATTCTGAAAATGTAAGTGTTTATGTGAATGTAATGCATACTTTTCAAGTTATGAATAATGTGGAAAAATTGTATTTCTCTGATTGTGATAATTACATTACCCATTGTGTAAGGTAATTGTATCACAGGCAGAGGGGAGGATTTTGTGTGGGAGTGTCTGAGTGTATTGTATGTGTTTATTGGTTGTGTTCCAAAACCCTGTGGGTGGTACTAATGTGTATATAAGAACAATAAACCCACTGCTCTGTCTGTTCACTGCTTGACCCTTAACACGGAGCTTTGTCTCGTTCTTGGGGGGATTTACTGTATGCTGTTAGAGACTGATTGCCAGGAGTGTGAGCCGCTTGGGTGCTTTTCCTGTTCAGCTGCTAGCAGCTATTCGTGAGGTTCCAGTTCGGGAGTTTGGAGTGCTACTTGGTATCCTGTTTGGGAGTTTGGGGTTCTGCAGTAGCTGTGCCTGTGCATCTGAAAGGGGAATATCGCCTAAACGGTTTTAATCCTCTTGTGGGCAAAACGGTCCGTTACACCTGGGCTTGCTTGTAATATTCCACCTATACATATTGAACTAAAGCTTGGGGCCTATCCTGTGAGCCTACGTCAGTATCATATACCTCAAAAGGCTAAGAAAAACATACAGACCTACTTGGATAAGTTCGTAAGGTATGGCATCCTAAAATTCTGTACTTCCCCCTGGAACACTCCATTATTACCTGTTCAGAAACCAGGATCAGATGAATATAGTCCTGTACAAGATTTGAGAGCAGTTAATGATGCAGTAGTCAATATACACCCAGTTGTACCCAACCCTTATAATCTGCTTGCCTTGATACCAGGTGGGGCAACCTACTTCACAGTTCTAGATCTTAAGGATGCTTTATTTTGCCTTTGGATTGCTGCTGAGAGTCATTGCTTTCCAATGGGAAGATGCTGTTACAGGTTCAAAGAGTTAGATGACCTGGACCAGACTACCTCAAGGGTTCAAGAATTCACCAACCCTATTTGGATCTGCATTAAGTCAGGATTTGCAAGATTTCAAGTCAATCCCAGGAGAATGTGTATTGCTTCAATACGTGGATGATCTTTTGAAAGCGGCTGTTACTAAAGAGATATGCCAACAAGCGACTTATGATTTGCTTCACATTCTATGGAGAGCAGGATACAAGGTATCAAGGAAGAATGCGCAGTTGTGCCAGTCAACTGTTAAATATTTAGGATTCCATATTTCCTAAGGTCAAAGAATAATGGGACCTGAAAGAAAAGAAGCAGTGTGTCGGATATCTATACCTAAGATTTGAGGATGTTAAGAAAGCACTTATGAGTGCCCCAGCCCTAGGTCTACCAGATCACACGCGTCCTTTCTATCTGTACGTACATGAGCAAAGAAGACTGGCTGTGGGAGTATTAAAGGGACACTATAGTCACCTGAACAACTTTAGCTTAATGAAGCAGTTTTGGTGTATAGAACATGCCCCTGCAGCCTCACTGCTCAATCCTCTGCCATTTAGGAGTTAAATCCCTTTGTTTATGAACCCTAGTCACACCTCCCTGCATGTGACTTGCACAGCCTTCCATAAACACTTCCTGTAAAGAGAGCCCTATTTAGGTTTTCTTTATTGCAAGTTCTGTTTAATTAAGATTTTCTTATCCCCTGCTATGTTAATAGCTTGCTAGACCATGCAAGAGCCTCCTGTATGTGATTAAAGTTCAATTTAGAGATTGAGATACAATTATTTAAGGTAAATTACATCTGTTTGAAAGTGAAACCAGTTTTTTTTCATGCAGGCTCTGTCAATCATAGCCAGGAGAGGTGTGACTCGGGCTGCATAAACAGAAACAAAGTGATTTAACCCCTAAATGACAGTGAATTGAGCAGTGAAGTTGCAGGGGAATGATCTATACACTAAAACTGCTTTATTTAGCTAAAGTAATTTAGGTGACTATAGTGGTCCTTTAACTCAGTATTTGGGATCATGGCAAAGACCTGTAGCTTATATGTCCAAACAGTTGGATGCAGTGGCCAGTGGTCTTCCACCTTGTCTGCGAGCAGTGGCCGCCGCTGCCCTGTTGGTAGCAGAAGCTGACAAGCTCCCATTGGGTCAGGAACTCTATGTGCGAGTACCCCATGCAGTACAGACCCTATTGGATTACAAAGGAAATCATTGGTTTAGTAATAGTCGAATGACCAATTATCAAGCTATGTTATGTGAAAATCCAAGAGTACACCTCGAAACTGTCAATAATATGAATCCAGTTACCCTTCTGCCCCAGACTACTGAAAGTCAACATGATTGTTTGGAGATGAAATTAATGAAGTGTTTTCATGCAGGCCTGATCTTCATGATTTCCCCATCCAGAATCCGGACATACAGTATTATACGGATGGTAGTAGTTATGTGAAAGAAGGTACACGTTATGCAGGGTATGCAGTAACAACCATAGACAAGGTGATAGAAGCACGGCCACTGTCGAAAGGGACATCAACACAGAAGGCGGAACTGATTGCATTAACAAGGGCCTTGCAATTAGCTGAAGGGTTGAGAGTGAATATTTACACAGATTCGAAATACGCTTTTCTAACCACCCATGCCCATGGAGCATTGTATAAAGAAAAGGGATTGTTGAATTCAGAAGGGAAAGAAATCAAGTATGCAGCAGAAATACTCCAACTGTTAGAGGCGGTATGGGAACCAAAGGAAGTCAGTATTATACATTGCAGGGCACATCTGAAAGGTGATAGTGATGTAGTAAAAGCAAATCGCATGGCTGCTGAATCCGGGCAAGAGGAATATGTGGGGTATGTTGCTGCCCTTGTGCCGGCACCTCTGTCTCAATGGACTCCGATATATACAACCCAAGAGATGGAGTGGTTGAAGACTGAAGCTGGGAAATACTTGGAGAATAATTGGTATCATTTAGAAGATGGAAGAATAGTTATTCCGACATCTCTGGCTATAGAGATTGTTCAGAACTTCCATAATGGTACACATTCAGGAAGAGATCGTATGGAAGAATCTCTCAGGAAACATTTCTACATACCAAGATTATCCAATCTTACTCAAGCTATTGTTCGAAGATGTGTTTTGTGTGCTTGAAACAATGCAAGACAAGGCCCTGTCAAACCCCCTGGAGTTCAATATATGGGAGGACTCCCAATGTCAGATTTGCAAATAGACTACACTGTACTGCCTAAATCTGGGGGATATCGTTACTTGTTGGTAGCTGTGTGTACCTACTCAGGTTGGGTAGAAGCTTGTCCAACTCGTACAGAAAAGGCAGGAGAAGTTGTACGATTTCTGTTGCGAGAAGTTATACCCAGATATGGACTATCTATCGGATCAGACAATGGTCCAGCCTTTATCCATCAGTGTTTACATCAATTGACTCATGTGCTTGGTATTAAGTGGAAACTTCATACAGCATATAGACCTCAGAGTTCTGGAAAGGTGGAAAGGATGAACAGAACAATAAAAACCCAATTGGCTAAAATGTGTGAGGAAACTCAGCTCAAGTGGAATGTCCTTTTGCCAAAAGCTCTGTTGCGGATACGTAGTACTCCTACCAGAAGAATAGGTCTCTCTCCCTTTGACATCGTGTATGAGCATCCACCTCCCATACTCCGTAATCTAAGGGGGGACTTGAATCAGTTGGGTGAAGGAATTACTCGGCAGCAGGTTGTAGAGTTGAGTAAAACTATGGAGGAAGTACAGAAATGGGTGCAAGATAGGTTACCTGTGAACATATATCCACCTGTTCATTCCTATCAACCGGGAGATCAAGTGTGGATAAAATAATGGAATATTAACATTAGTCCAAAGTGGAGGGGTCCTTATATTGTTCTTTTATCTACTCCAACAGCTGTAAAGGTGGCAGAAGTGACTCCATGGATTCATAATTCTAGGGTTAAACCAGCGGCAGATTCTTGGCAAGCTATTCCAGATTCTGAAAATCCTTGCAAGATCCGGTTAAAGCGGGTAGCTCAGTCGTAGTGAGAAATAATACAAGGAGCTATTGTGATTTCTTAGTTGAAAGTAACAACAGATATCAGCAAGTAGGTGTTTTTGACGGCCATAATAAAGCCTGACCACCTACCTACGTGTCATAGCCAGAGTGTCTCGAAGGGACCTCTGTGAAGAAAAGTGAGGATCAGAAGAACGACAAGCCTTGCAGCCCTCACAATCGGGAAGCTGAGGTGCCGTCGCACGGTCGAAGAGTAGAAATGAGGACTTCTGAAATAATATGTTGTAATATGTTATATTATGTGTTTAGACATTTTTGTGATTTTTCAGGAAGGTAAAGGTGAGGACATACAGAGTTGTGTTAGCTGCATTAAGACTACAAAAACAGGTAACCAAATATTCCAAACTCTCATTTGGCACTCACAGTAAGAGTGTAGGGGATCTGTATCTAAGTGTAGATATTTAGATATAGATTACAGTGTGTGCAAACCAATATCAGGAGAGCCTAAATGTTTTGATCCCCAATTCCAACCACGTACAATTTGGTTGGTAATTCGGAAGAGTAACTCCAAGGGGACCTTGATAAATAGGACAGTGATAAATACCATACATTCTACAGGCATTCTACTATTTGATGCATGTAAGGACAGCTCTGGTAGTGGAAAACCTTGGAATGTATGTGGTAATCTTAAACGGGAACGAACTTATGGGTTTAATGATAAATATTTATGTCCCAGTAAGAGATCTACTGATCCTGATTGCCCAAATAGGGATTTCTGTCCATATTGGTCTTGTGTAGGGTGGGCGACCTGGTGAAAATCAGTGGATTGAGATATGATTATCCAACGGTTGCCCACTACACCACACTGTAAGTCTATGGAATGTAATCCTGTCCATATGACCATCTCTAATCCACAACATTTTATTGATAAGTTTGGAAATCTATTTGGGTTCCAAATATACGGCACAGGAGTAGATCCAGGGACCATAATATATGTAGGACTCGAAACTGAGACGTAGCAACTCAAACTCATCAGGTTTTTCATTCCTTTTATGAGGAGATGAGTGTTGAGGATAAAATTCCCCATAATGTTAAGAACCTATTTATTGATTTGGCTGAGAGTATTGCGGGTAGTTGTAATGTAACTAATTGCTTTGTATGTGGAGGTACTAATATGGGAGACCAGTGGCCATGGGAGGCAAAGGAAGTATGGTACCTTGGTTCTGAGACAGATGAACAACAAATACTTTCTCAGTCTGATCATCAAGTAAGTACTAGAGGTAAATCAGAGTGGCGGTTAAAAACCTCCATTATAGGTCATGTATGTTTAGCCAGGAAAGGGCCATTGTATACCACACCTGTTGGCGAGTTAATATGTCTAGGACAGAAAGCCTATAATTCCGATACTAAAGATACTACTTGGTGGTCAGCTTCAAATGTCTCATAGCCTACTAATCCGTTTGCCAATTACACCCATTTAAAAGAGGTATGGTTTGACTTATCTGCTACATCCATTTGGAAAGCCCCAGCGAATTTATATTGGATCTGTGGTAAGAAAGCATATTCAGAGTTACCACAAGATTGGGAAGGGGCATGTGTATTAGGTATGCTCAAACCATCCTTCTTCTTGTTGCCAATTGAGACAGGAGAGACCTTGGGAGTTAAGGTTTATGATGTAAATCATAAAAAGAAGCGAGCATCCTTGAATATAGGTAGCTGGGAAGATGATGAGTGGCCTCCCCAACGCATTATTAATTATTATGGACCTGCTACTTGGGCAGAAGATGGTACCAATGGATATAGAACCCAAATATATATGCTCAACCGTATTATAAGACTACAGGCGGTGGTTGAGATTATCACTAATGAGACAGCTCAAGCACTTAATCTTCTAGCTAAGCAAAATACGCGGATGAGATCAGCCATCTATCAAAATAGATTAGCTCTGGACTACCTATTAGCAGCAGAGGGAGGTGTATGCGGAAAGTTTAATCTCAGCAACTGTTGTTTGCACATAGATGATTAAGGGCGGGCAGTGGCTGAAGCCACATGGTTAAACTGACGCATGTACCTACTCAGGTCTGGAATGGGTATAATCCTAGTAGTTGGTTTGGAAGTTGGTATGAGCAGCTTGGAGGGATTAAGGCGTTAGTAGGAGGAGTAGTATTTATTATATTCTTATGTCTCTTTTTGCCCCGCCTAATTCCATTAGTGGTCAGATCTATAGGTAGTATCATAGAGAGTACTATAGAAAGAAAGACAGCTGCTCATGTAATGGCTGTCTATAGATATGAATCCCTAGCCCAAAGAGAACATATTCAGGATGAGGAATGCTGAAGGAGTTTGTGATGATGCTAAGATGCTTACAAGGTCTGTTCTGGTCCATGGCTACTTGAGAGGTGTTGGTAAACTATGATTGGTGATGCATCTGGAATAATTTTGTATCAGAGGCATCAAAGGGGGGAATGTGATGGAATTTCGGTGAAATGTAAATTTAGTAGGCCGAGATTTCCACGTGGCATATGTGTATGTTGTATCAGTTAGTTAGTTACACATAGCTAAGATACTGTCATCAATGTACTGAGCATATGCAGGAACTGAAATCACACTCCTTTCTCCTTTGTTTCGGATGAGCCATGTGGTCTGCCCATATGAGGAAATCCAAATCCTGTCCACTGATTGGTTATGGGTATGTGCGGGTGGAGCTATTAATGGGAGGAGTTATAGTTCTATAAAAAGCATGTACTCCATGTGTTCGCCCCTAAGACCTGTTTTGGAACGTTAGTTCATCTGAGGCCCGATCGGTATGTTAATAAAGACCTCTTACTTCCTGAAAACCTGCATCCATCTCTCTGTGTCTGGCTTCTGCAAGTTTACTCGACTACATTATTATTATTATTATTATTATGTTATTATTTATATAGTGCCATCAAATTCCGCAGCACTTTACAATGGGTGGACGAACAGACATGTAATTGTAACCAGACAAGTTGGACACACAGGAACCGAGGGATTAGGGGCCCCTTCTCAATGAGCTTACATGTTAGAGGGAGTGGGGTATAGTGACACAGTAACAGAGGGATTGAGGGCCCTGCTCAATGAGCTTACATGTTAGAGGGAGTGGGGTATAGTGACACAGTAACAGAGGGATTGAGGGCCCTGTTCAGTGAATTTACATGTTAGAGGGAGTGGGGTATAGTGACACAGTAACAGAGGGGATTGAGGGCCCTGCTCAGTGAGTTTACATGTTAGAGGGAGTGGGGTATAGTGACACAGTAACAGAGGGATTGAGGGCCCTGCTCAGTGAGTTTACATGTTAGAGGGAGTGGGGTATAGTGACACAGTAACAGAGGGATTGAGGGCCTGCTCAGTGAGTTTACATGTTAGAGGGAGTGGGGTATAGTGACACAGTAACAGAGGGATTGAGGGCCCTGCTCAGTGAGTTTACATGTTAGAGGGAGTGGGGTATAGTGACACAGTAACAGAGGGATTGAGGGCCCTGCTCAGTGAGTTTACATGTTAGAGGGAGTGGGTTATAGTTACACAGGAACAGAGGGATTGAGGGCCCTGCTCAGTGAGTTTACATGTTAGAGGGAGTGGGGTATAGTGAAACAGTAACAGAGGGATTGCGGGCCTGCTCAGTGAGCTTAAATTTTAGAGGGAGTGGGGTATAGTGACACAGTAACAGAGGGATTGAGGGTCCTGCTCAGTGAGCTTACATGTTAGCGGGAGTTGGGTATAGTGACACAGTAACAGAGGGTTTGAGGCCCTGCTCAGTGAGCTTACATGTTAGAGGGAGTGGGGTATAGTGACACAGTAACAGAGGGATTTAGGGCCCTGCTCAGTGATCTTACATGCTAGAGGGAGTGGGATAAAGTGATACAAAAAGGTAAGGATAGTATTAGACTAATGACAGCTGTAAGAGAGATATCAGTCGGGAGCTATTAACAGTTTAATTGATTTATGAAGAAGTGGGTTTTTAACGATTTTTTGAAGGAGTGGAGACTGGGTGAGCATCTAACGGAGGAGGGAAACGAGTTCCACAGGAACGGTGCAGCCCTCGAGATATCTTGAAGGCAAGCATCAGAGATGGGAGTACGGACAGAAGATAGACGTAAGTCTTCAGCGGATCGTAAGGGCCTAGATGGGACATACTTGTGTATAAGGGAGGATAGATAGGTGGGAGCAGCGTTATGTAGCGATTTGAAAGCAAGAACCAGAATTTTAAACTGAGCTCTATATTTTATAGGAAGCCAATGTAGGGACTGACAGAAGGGTGAGGCATTGGAGGTGCGGGCGGACAGGAAGATGAGCCTCGCCCCCGCATTCATTATTGACTGTCACGGGACCAAGTTGGGAGCACATAAGACCACTGAGAAGTGGATTACAGTAGTCAAGGCGAGAAAGGACAGTGGAATGGACCAGAACCTTAGTCGCATCAGGCGTTAAGTAGGGGCGGATGCGCGCAATGTTTTTGAGATGGAAATGGCAGGATTTGGTGATAGACTGAACATGAGGCATGAAGGAGAGGTCGGAATCAAAGAGAACACCTAGGCAGCGAGCCTGCGTGGTGTAGCTGATGGTAGCACCGTTGACTTGGAGGGAGGGAGACACAGGAGTAACAACACTTGAAGGAGGGAAGACCATAATTTCAGTTTTGGTCAAGTTTAGTTTAAGGAAGTGGGCAGCCATCCAGTTAGAAATAGCAGAGAGGCAGTCAGAGACACTATTTAAGAGGGACGGGGAGAGATCAGGAGAGGACAGATAGATTTGCGTGTCATCCGCATAGAAATGATATTGGAAGCCAAAGGAGCTAATGAGTTTTCCAAGGGAGGCAGTATAGATGGAGAACAGTAGGGGACCAAGGACTAAACCTTGGGGGACACCAACAGAGAGGAGTTGGGGAGAAGAAGCAGAGCCAGAGAAAGAAACACTGAAAGAGCGCCGGGAGAGGTAGGAGGAGCACCAGGAGAGAGCAATATCTTGTAGACTGATATTGCGGAGGATGAGAAGAAGCTGTTGATGATCAACAGTGTCAAAAGCCGCAGACGGGTCAAGGAGAATTAGGATAGAGTAGTGACCATGAGATTTTGCAGTGAGTAGATCATTGGATACTTTGGTCAGTGCCGTTTCCACAGAGTGCTTAGCACGGAAACCAGACTGAAGCGGGTCTAGCAGATAGTTGGACTTGAGGAAGTCTGTCAATCTTGCATACACAACTCTTTCAAGGATCTTGGATGCAAAAGGCAGTAGCGAGATAGGACGGTAGTTGGTATATATAGTGTATACTGCTAGTACTGTCTGTGTATATATATATATATATATATATATATATATAGTGCTTGTTGGTGTCTAATGCTATTTTTACAGTCCCCTAACAACTGCTGCTGTTCCTCTGTCCCTCCCCTAACAACTGCTGCTGCTCCTCTATCCAGCCCCTAGCAACTGCTGCTGCTCCTGTATCCCCCCCTAACAACTGCTGCTGTTTCTCTATCCCTCCCCTAACAACTGCTGCTGTTCCTCTATCCCACCCCTAGCAACTGCTGCTGCTCCTCTATCCCTCCCCTACCAACTGCTGCTGCTCCTCTATCCCTCCCCTAACAACTGCTGCTGTTCCTTTATTCTGCCCCTAGCAACTGCTGCTATTCCTCTATCCCGCCTCTAGCAACTGCTGCTGTTCCTCTATCCCTACACTAACAACTGCTGCTGTTCCTCTATCCCGCCCCTAGCAACTGCTGCTGTTTCTCTATCCCGCCCCTAGCAACTGCTGCTGTTTCTCTATCCCGCCCCTAGCAACTGCTGCTGTTCCTCTATCTCTCCCCTAGCAACTGCTGCTGTTTCTCTATCCCGCCCCTAGCAACTGCCATCCAGACACCCACCCCTGTCAAATATCGCAAGACTACCATCCAGATCTCCACACACCCTGCCATATATACCCCAGAACTGCCATCTAGATACCAACCCACTGTGTCATATAACCCAAAACTACCATCCAGACACCCACACACCCTGTTATATACCCTGAAACTACCATCTAGAAACCCACACACCCTGTCACATACCCCCGAAACTACAATTGAGATACCCACACACCCTGTCACATACCCCCGAAACTACCATTCAGACACCCACACACCCTGTCATATATACCCCGAAACTACCGCCTAGACACCCACACACCCAAAACCGCCATCCAGACACCCACCCCTGTCATATACCCGGGAACTACCTCCAGACACCGACACACCCTGTCACATACCCCGAAACTACCATCTAGACACCCACACACCCTGTCATATATACCCCGGAACTACCATCCAGACACCCACACACCCTGTCATATATACCCCGGAACTACCATCTAGACACCCACACACCCTGTCATATATACCCCGGAACTACCATCTAGACACCCACACACCCTGTCATATATACCCCGGAACTACCATCCAGACACCCACACACCCTGTCATATACCCCAGAACTACCATCCAGACACCCACACACCCTGTCATATACCCCAGAACTACCATCCAGACACCCACACACCCTGTCATATACCCCAAGACTACCATCCAGACACCCACACACCCTGTCATATACCAGTCAACATGTCACAAAATACCTACCTCACTTCCCAGACACTTCCAACTCCGTCACATATTTCCACCCAACCCACTATCTATTCAACCTCATACCCTATCATGTGCCCTCAACCCACCATCCAGTCACCAAAAATCACATTTCCCAAGAATGGTTATAACGCCAATTAAAGGACAAAATCATGAAAAAGCACCTGAAAGTTTAATGCAAAATATATATTTTAATATTACTATAGCTTTGAAAACATTTTTTTTGCTTTACAAATGAACAGACGGGAAATTGATCAATTAATAAATAAATGTAATATATACACAATTGCCCTCCTAGATCCACTTTTTGTCACCTATGTGAATGGTTTGCAGGGACATTCTAGGCGTTATATCTATTCCATCTCATCAGTGGCTATAGTGCCTGGAGTCCTCTGGCACAGTTATTGAACGGTTTAACACTGAATGAGGGTCCCTGGTATCCCACGGCCGAGCTCCCAATGGAGGTTTGGCTAAGGCAGAGATTATACTCTTCCTTAGCCATACCAAATTATACCAGCATTGGGCAACTTTATAGACTGAGAGCGGTCAGCTGATACTCTCATCCCAATCATCCTCACCCATTGCTGCTTGGGCTAATGTGCCCTAGTTAGTCCGAGCATACAGAGGGGTCAGACTGTTAGCTACTTGAGACACTCATTTAGTGTTAAATCATTTAAAAATGGTCTAACACTGAAAGGAAGGGTGGCGCCAGGAGACTCCAGACACTATAACCACTTCAATTAGATGAACTGGCTAAAATGCCTAGATTGTCCCTGAAACTGGGGAAATACATTGAGTTTTATTTATCAATATCAAATTGTACTAAATTAAAAAAACACATGTCAAAGCCGAGTCTAAAATACCTAGACTGTGATTGGAGATTTTTTATCTTCAAATCAGCACTTTTTAAAAATGTAGAAATTCATTGTGTAGTGAACAACCCTGCTGACTGGATTTAAATAGCATGCTGCATTGTGGCCACTGTCAGTGTATTGAACAGTTCTGCAGCTCGGATAAACTACTACTTACGGAATAAGATCTGACCCTGTAATCCAGAGTTAGAGGATTGGTGGAGCCAGTTCCAGGACAGGGAGATGTCTGCCTCTAGCTGCAGATAGCCAATCTCACATTTCTATTCTGTTTTAGTGATTTTTTTGCTAATTATTTGAATGTATTAAAGCTAGGGGCCATTTTTTTTCCCCCTTTAATATAACATTTATAGAGATTTCTTTAAAATTACTACAATTAATGTTTAGTAAAAATGCATATAAAATATATTTATAATATACAAAAATAGTTTTTCGTTTTGCTCTTTGTAAATTCTGTAGTCTTTAACGTACCCTCGGCTGGAGTATAAAATGGCAGTCGCCAAGAAGCGCATTGATATATACTCAAGAAAAATGATTCTCATTTTCTCAATTCTCTACCCACATTAAAATACAGGCCTATCTAGTACTTGCTTTCCCAATGACTCCCTACTTTTTTTTTACACGTTGGAAAATAGCCTTCATTTTCTAAATAGATCAATCACCTCCGTCCCTTTTCAGCCTTCAATCAGGCATGTAAGAAAGGACCAAAAAGATTGCAAGGCGACTTTGTACCCCTGAAGAGGGGCCGGTGAATTGTATGAGATGAAATAAGGGGAAATTTAATAGGCTACAAAAATATATAAAATGAGAGAAAATAATAAGAATTATTTTCACGTAAAATATAGAGGACACATCATTGTAAACCACTGGGCATGATCTCTAGAGAAAGAAAGGTTGCCTGTGTAAAAACGAGCGTTCTGGGCTGACCAATGACGATTACACCCCTGGCAGCTAAATGCTTTAATTCTTTACTTGCAGAGTTCCAAATTGAAATTCCGCACATGCAGAATCTGAGTAATATGAACATTAATTTAAAATCTTCTAATCCTTTTCTGATCCATTATAAAACCTAAATTCTTTCTTAAAAACATGAGAAGTCAGTCGGTGCCTCTACTGAAGCATGTTAGCACACATTAAAGAAGTCAGCTGGCTCCTTTCTGTTATTACAAAATACGATTTCCAACAGATTTTACTTCATTCTACTTCAGAATATATGTATAATAATCTGTGTGAGAGTAATTTCACTAGAAGGCTATTCCAAGTAACTACTACCATTTCTGTATCACTGTTCACCTTTACTGCTTCCACCAGAAAGATATTCACGGTATCTACTACTCTTTCTATATCACTGTTAGCCTTTATTGCTTCAACTGGAAGGATGTTCAATGTATCTACTACTCTTTCTGTATCACTGTTAGCCCCTACTGATCCCAATGGCCGGCTATTCCTTGTATCTACTACTAAAATGGAACCCTATTGAGAGTACCTGAAAAACCAAGACTATGTAATGTGTCCTGTATTGTAGAATATTAGTAATATTGTGATTGGTCGTTGTCGAATTGTTTAAACCCCTGATCTTTATAAAGAGGTTACTCTTCTTCCTGCAATCAGCCCTGAGAGAGTGCAGGTCACATGACGCGACACATTCTAGAATGATGGAGGTCACATGACGCGACACATTCTAGAATGAAGCCGGGATTTACGTGGTTTTGAGGGGGATTCTGGCATGTTGGAATGATGAGGACAAAGAGCAGATTCTCCCTCTATCCTGAAACAGAAGAAGGAATGATTGGTCAAACAGCCATTGATTTATGGATTCTGGCAATTTGCGCCAACAAAAAACCCAATACATAAGTACAAGTATGCTTTCATATGTGACTGTGCCTGTTGGGGTTTTTAACAGCCATAAAACTCACCGTAACATTTCTTGAAAGGGACACTATAAGCACCATAGCTAGTACAGCTTATTGTAGTGGTTAAGGTGCAAAACTGGGCTTCCTGCTCCTAAAGTCTGGCCCTTTGCCTGCTATTTAGATAATAGAGAAGTTTCATTTTCACATTATTTATCCAACCATTGACAGAAGCACTGGATTGACAGATCGTGTCCTCAATAAATCTCTATGAGAAGCATCTGATTGGATAATAGTTATCAGGATTAATGACTTCACAGGAGGAGGAGTCTGACATGGCGCTGATTACAGGTAAGTTTAAAGGGACTCTGTAGAAGGTGTAACTACTTCATCTCAGTGAAGTGGTTATAGTTTTTGGTGTCCCCTGGTGCTGTCTCCCCATTCACCATTAAACCGGTATAATGTTTTAAAGCTAAACTTGAGTCCCTAGCAGCCCATCCTTGCTGTGATTGGCTGATAGCGTCAGCTGACCTCTTTCAGCCTATCACAGTGCCCATTGGTGGTATGAATTGGTATGGCCAAATTCAAGTGTGTAATATCTGCCTTAACTGTAGTAGGGACCAAGGCTGTGGTTTGTCATGGACCTTTAACTGCTAGAAAATGGTTTAGCACACAATGGAGGGACAGCACCAGGGAACTACAGACACTATAACCTATAACCAATTGAATGAGATATAATGGGCCTAGTGCCGTCAGTGTCCATCTAAGAGTTATTTAAGTTCTTCATTAAGTCCATTTGGATATGATGATAGCTATCATTGAATACCCACCCAACCCCAACCTGAGTGTTTATTGAAAAATCAGGGGTGTCTAACCTCTGTCCTTCAGCAGCTTTAGGCTGTTTCCTGTTTCAAGACAAGAATTATATATTCCCCCTATTCTAAAATTATACACCATTCGAAAGGATTTTTACCAAACACGTTTTCCTTAAATTGTCCTTACCTCCCTGATTTCATTGTCATTAGCTTCAGGGTCTCATAGTCATGATTGCCTGTAAGAAAACATGTATGTGTTATAATGTAGCTCTTGATCAGTTAGTAAGGTAAATAAAATATTCAGAATCTACGTAAATGGAAGCTATGTTTAAAGGGAGCTATATGTAAAATTGGTCTCCCCCTCCCTTTTTTAATGTATTATGTAGATAATGCATTAAAAAATGGTGCAGAAACAATGAAATAATTATAATCACTATTGGAAATCATAAAGCTGCACAATAGCATCTCTGGTCTGTGGGGCCCGATCTTATACCATCAACTTGTGTCCAGTAGGAATTTATGGGATAAGTAGTTTAACCTCTAGCAGATGTTTCACTCATCATATGGGGTGAATGAAACGGTTTAATAAAACGATAGCAGCAATGCCATGATTATTAATTGAAATCTATGAAAACTGGAGCAGTATATAGTGAAAAAAATGCTCTTAGCACAAATTAAATTAAGTTACAATGGAATCAGAATTTACAGGTTTTGTATAGAATATATAGGATTACGGTGCAAGGCATTCTGGGGGGAAAAAGTTGTGTTAAATATTGTGCTTTTTTTTTTTTAATGGATTATACTCCTCCCTTTAACTTCCACAGTATGTAGAGCAGAAGAAGGCAACCTTCAGCGCCCCAGATGTTGTGGACTACATCTCCCATAATGCCCTCATAGCCATAATGCTTGCAAAGCATCAGGGGATATGTAGTCCATGACATCTGATGTGCTGGAGGTTTCCAACTCCTGAATTAGTAGGTACAGACTGACAGCCAGACCTGTTCAGGCGTCAATCAAGAGTGATGTTGCATTGAGAGTCTCATTCTGGTTGCAGGGGTGTACTTACTTTTTTGGGTGTTGCACAGGGTGCCGTTGTGAATGCAGTTCTGGTAAAGTGGGTCTGGATGCAGGTATGTATTATTCAGATTGCTGGAAGTGAAACATTGTATTGTTACTGACTGACACAGAGTATGTCTATAGTGCACACTCAGTACGTGGCTAAGTCACCTGTTGGCCATGGGGTGGTTTCTGTACGAGGCGGCAGCTGAGTCTGGCTGCTCACAGTCCTCCGAATATTCATTGGTCACCACTGTGAGAGTATCCGAATCGTTGTCCTCGCCTGCATCCGCTGAAAAAAACAGCAAAACTGGTTTGTTCTCTGCACTAGTACTGGATTAGTCAATAAAATACTCGTTGGGAAGTGTTTCTATTCTGAACAGAATTCTGCATTCTTTGCTATAGGTAAAGGCAGCATTAGATATATACGAACATGGAAACTTTACAGTGATGGAACTTCATTCTTTAGCCAGAGATTAATATATCACTCGTGGACTGAAATGTTTGGGTATTTGTATTCACTCACCAGAGTTAGACTTGTCTCTGGTTATAGAATTCAGGCCTGGCACTGGTTACTGCTGGACCCAAAAACAGAGGTATATGGGTCTGTATCCTTAAATCCTTTACTCATTGAGTTTAAAGAAGCAGTTTTAATATTATTATAGTAAAATAAAGCCCTTATTCTAGAGGTCGGAGCATGACTGCCAAGCAGGGTGGACATGTGTTGGGCAAGACCCCGAGCTTCAGCAGCGTTCCATGCATGGTAGGCCGGGGGTGGACCAGTAGCCTGTCAGTAGGGTGATGTGGAATTCCATTCTATTGTTTACCGGGTTTGACTTGGCCTTTCATTTGACCATTGTCTGTCTGCTACCTGTACAGACCCTAGGCTTGTTATTTGAATATCCAGATTTCTACCATTCCTGACCACTGCTTGTTCCTGTTTTTGCTAGTTAATGCCTAGTCATTAACAAATAATACAGAGTGCATCTATAGTAAAATGTGTGCTGAGGTATACCTTACCCAGATTCGTATTCTCTGCCGCAAGCTGGACATTTTCCCTCCAGACCATGACTTGATGGCTAGCCTCAGAATTTTCTTCTGCTCGTCCACGAAGCTCGCGGTCAGGCTGAGATAGATGACTAGGCTTTCTACTCATTCTGTAGGATCTAAATGTCAGATAATATCATAAAGTATGTTCCCAATGTTTTCCCTTTTCACTAGTATATATTTGTGTAATGACAATTTGCTATTGGAGTCATAGGTGTATGGAATAAGGAGGTTGGGTAAGTCGTAGTATGTGGTTATGAGTTGGATTCAAGGCTGGTCTTCTCCAATAAATACACTTGTTATTGTGTGCTTACGATGCTAGCATATGGCGGGCCTCATCTTAGTGTGGCGAAATCCACCTGGCTGTCCAGCATATTCCCCGCTCATTGTTTTCCCCATAGACTTTTGTGTGAATTAAAACGTTTGTCTAGTTGTTCCCATAAACTGTACTGAAATACTTCATTCACCATACGAACACAAACTACTGAACACCGGACCACCTTGATGCATAAGTGTGACTTCAGTTAACCTCCCAATTCGTTTTTATTGCCTCTTGTGGGAAACTCACGAACACTTTGTTAAGTCCCTGGGTGGCCGCCATTTCGGAAATTTGACACGTGGCAGCAGCCATCTTAAACTCCTGAACAGCGGTGTTTTGCCGTCGAGTGTCTGGAACTAAAATCGGACACTCGTCTAAGCAAACACCGCTGAGACCTCCAGACTCCCATAGATTTGTGCTAAAACAACCGTAGAAAGACTCTCTCACACTAAGGGATTTATGCGAATACAAGATCAACCCTGGATGGCATGTATTTCGGGACTTTTAAAATATAAAAAGAGACCGACCGCAAGGACAAAACTTATGGAACTATTTTCGGCTGCTGTTGCCTGTGCGGTCGGTCAAAACTTTAAACCACCATAACTCCCGAGGTCTACCCTAGGTATTTGGGGTACATCCAGAACGTGGGGAAAATTGTGTACCTTTTAATTATGTTAACTGATAATCTGAGGGGAGGAGATGTGTGGGTTGTACGTTATACCTAATTGGTTACTGTACTAATTATTGTGGGTGTCTCCCTTGCATGGGAGGATTGCATAAAAGCAGGGGGTTGTGTGATTAAAGTTCAGTTCTGCTTCTGATACTGTGTGTCGTCCAGTTATTGGGAAAGGTGATGGGATATTACTGGATTTTACTGCTGATGGTGCTTGTTATAGTGCTGGATTATTCTCTCACTGTGGGTACTGTGCCTGGGATTATTGCTTGTTCCTAAGCCATACTGGGATCTACAGCGGATTTAGCCTGTGTGATAGCAGCTCTCCGCTACACTTGGCATAATACTTTTTGGTGAACTATTAGTGGAGGTAAAAGCGAGTTTCCGAGTGGTGCTTACCGACGGTTTTCCTGCGGCAAGCTCTGTGGTACGTTGCCGTAGCCATTATTCATATCTGTGGTGTACCTCATTTGGTTTGCCCCTTGCTGCTTTCCTGGGAACGATTTCTGAAAAACACATTAATTTTATTTATTATAATCTCAGCCCCTTTTTTAGCTTAAACGAGCGTGAAAAATCTCTGGTTCATCACGCTTCAATATAACAGTTCCCCTAAAAGAACATGTTAAATATTCATCTACATTGCCCTTAAATTTGAAATTCAGTACGAATTCTCATTGAATTCTAACTTTAGTAATTAACGCTGCAAGTGTGAATAATGACTTCTAAACAGAGAAAGAATAACCATTAGGAGAACAAAGCAGGCGCCTAAGGCTCAGCCAGGGACCCGGAGATCTGACTCTGTGCGGACCCTCCTCGTGCAAGCAGGGAGATAAAAAAAAAAATCACTCTGAATTCTCACTGTAGTGAATAACTTTGATTGTCTTTCCTTTTCTGATTGAAATATTAGAAGAATTCTGCTATTCGCTATTCCAAATGCTTATCTAATTCTCTGAGAGTGAGCGATATATCATATCATAACGTAATGTTTGCATTGCAAAACTATTACTGCTTGAGCACAAGTGAATTGGGCATGATGCCTGTCATTGGGTGTTACCAACACAAACCTATATTCAAGCAGAAATAGTACTTACGGCTGATCGCAACTGACCATAATGCAAAATGTATTTGAATCCATGATGGGAGCTCACTGCATATAAATAACTGTGATCAATGTGCAGGGGAAAAATTATATGTATCGTCATCAAAGGCTGATAGAAACAAAGACAGTTTTTACTTTTTTTTTTACATAGTTTGCAAAAAGCTTTGCATACGTTAGATAAAATCATTTATAATAATAACAATTACCGGTGGATGCGTGACTTACAAGAGGAGCAGCAGGAATTATTCCGCCACCATGGGAAAGACAACTGTTTACGGACAACTTGCGCTGAAGTGCGTCAGTCAGTTTGTTCACAATCCTCTCCTGGACCGCATCAGAAACATCCTGTATGACAGAAACACAGACTCACTGGAGGCAGAGATTGTTTGCTTATTGAGCAAAGCAAGCCTCTGATTTATCAAACGACACCATGACCGTCCAATGGCTTTCTTAAGACCCAATCACAGATGTAGGACATCCGTAAACTAAAAGGTTCATTTACTAAACAGGCGAATTGTACAGAAGTAAGAAGAGAATAGAAAATTTTATGCAAAAAAAAAAAAACCAGAGATGAAGAATTGATTCGGTTATTTTGTCATTCCTTATATTTATTCTCCGCTAAGCACTGTTTATAATCGTCGGGATAAGAGCACCTCATTAACTGATGAGCTACAAGCAGGCTGAATGGAAAGGTGAAATATCCTAATTGATTTGTAAATTGGTCCCAAAGGAAGTAGGATTTGGCTGTCCGCCATCTATTTCTCTCTATTTGCTAATAATTATTATCACTAGAAGGAATGTTTCAGTTTTCATTTATTTTTTTCAAGAGTCATATTCATAAGTGGAATCATACCTTGGCTTTGGAGAGTAAAGCCAGAGCTTGTTTGTAATAAAATACGGCTTTCTCTGGATCGCCAAGACGGAATCTTGCAGCTCCAAGTCCTTCGCACGCCTGCCATTGGCCATGGACATCATCTGTTGGACAAAAATCACCACCAAGACAATATTAGAACATGCGGCATTTCCCACCACCCCTAAACCATATTAATTTTGTTTCCCTTCAAAGCTCATATCTTTCTTATATCAAGGTCGGCCAAGCCGATAAAATATGTTACAATGAAAATAAACATGAAGGCCAATCTTTCCTGAAGTTAGATAAGATACCAGTATCAGCCTTTTGTTTTTTCACGTTTAAAATATTCTGTCAAGTAAACTCCTGTGTTTTTACAGGAAGGCTCTCCAATACAAGTCAGAATTCTTCATCGTAGAATGCCCAGCCCATACCTGAATCCTTGAAGGCCTGCAGAGAATGAAGATAATTCTCTCCCGCTGCCTCGTGGTCCTCGAGCTGACTGTAAGCAAAAGCCAGGTTTCCAAAACACTGACCTTGGGCTCGACGGTTCCCCAGAAGACCTTAAAAACATTACTGATTATGTTTAATAAACATGTCCTACATCCGTAACTGAATGCATTCCTGAAATATATATTAAAGAAAAACGACTGCTTCAGCTCACATTTAGAGGAGTTAATTTATATCTGTAAAATTAGGAAACATTACTTATTTCATTTTATTACATTGATTAGCAGATAGAGGCAGCTATTAGCTTATTGTCATCTACTTGTTTTCTGGTCCTTGGCAATGATATGAGTTTTATAAATATATATATTATTCGTAAACACATAATATAAAAGACACATAACTCTTAAGCATGTGCATGTGTTAAGGGAAAATAATGCCCTGTCAGGGTTCTGGAGACTCTTGTTTCAGTCTTCTGGCTATTAATATTTTAGAACCCCTTAATTTCATTATTTTCCATAAAACATTCTATACAATTAGTTTATATATAATTAAAGCAACTCTCCAAGCACCATGACCTCTACAGCAGTCTATAGTGTTTATGGTGTCCTGGGTTACTACGGTATAACTCCTTACCTGGGGTCCACCACGTACTGCTCTTTATCTCCACTATATCAGACAGTCAGCTGGAGTTGTGGTGGACCCGGGTAAGAAGTGAAAATGGTTTGACTACTTACAATGCAGGGTCGCCATAGCTTTCCCACGACAGCGCACTGTAGTGTTTATGGTGCTCGGAATGTTTGTTTTATTTAGGTTCTTGGGACGGAGGAACATGTGGCTGGTTAGAATGAGGGGTTACATGTAATTAGAGTAACTCTTAATGTGTCAATTGTAAGGATCTAAAAGTAAAATTGATATTTTAGGGAACATGTGAACATTTCTTTGAGTTCAGTTTGAATACCTGACAATTCCCAGTTTGTAAATATCCGTAATTGTGGGAAGATGATCACATAATGGAGAGGGAATGTGTAGCTGCTACATTAATTTAATGGCTACATGATGCGGAGGAAACATACTTATTTATTATTTTAATTTATAAGCCAGTTGCCGATTCCACCAGCACAATGTAATACTTATTAAAATGCACATTATTTGTTGACTCCAATTTCACTTTAACTAGAATATATACCTCTGTGAAATATGGCTATTTGGTGCCCTCTGCTGGGTCAAAATCAGTTTTACAGTATGTAATTTGTTAAAGAGACACTGTAACAACCAAAACCACTTCATCTTAATAAAATGGATTGGTTTCAGTATGAGAAGCATCTGATTGACTGGGCGCATCAATTGCCACACACGTCCAGCAGGTCCCTAGCACTATGAAAAGCATTGAATTGGATTAGAAATCATTGGGATCTCAGAAGAATAGGATTGGCTGCAGGAGGGAGACTGCCTAGCTCTGGATAAAATCTCAGTAAAAAAAAACATATTTTATTTTAAAAGCCCAATAATCTAAATCTACTAAGGAACATTCTACTATTAAAAATAAATATGTTAATATTTCATGTTAGAGTGTTGCTTTAAACTCATTGTTGCTTTATTTTTTACTCATTGTTCTCCAGTGAAGCCATCAGTGACTTTTGCCCAACACAGAAACATTGAGGGCACACAGTACATGTGTCGCATTCACCGCAATCATTTTCTATGAAGAGATGCAAGTATGATATAAATCACGACCAGTTTACGTTACCATAGAGTTTTTTGTTGTAATTGTTTACTGGACCCCAACCTGTATTGCATGCCCTTGTTATAATCATTACGACATGTTCCAGAAAGCTATTAAGAAGATGATAGCCTTAATTTGTTAGTCATAACATACTGTGTAGAGATGCTGCTTGCTTGTGAAACGTCAAGCCTTCTTCATATTGTTCCAGGGTATTGTATGCAGCTCCGAGGTTCTGTAAAACCACCGCTTCCTTGTCCCTGTCCATCCCATCTTCCTGGCAGAAAAGTAGGGCTTTCTGAAAACACTCTGCGGCCAACGAGAAGACCTTCAACTGGGCGTAACTCAGGCCAATGTCGTTGTACAATCGACCTGAAACGCAAGAGAGAGATTAATCATAGTGAGCTTCTAAGTGGAGAAGGTTATGGTGCGGTGGTCTTGGTCAGGGCTGACCATAAGGAGAGCTCTCTTGTCTACGAGAAAGGAGGCCATTTATCCCTATCTCTGTGAGGCTTGGAAGCCAGCCGTAGATTGACTATGGTTGGATGTTTGATTAAATCTAGTCTTCTGCTGGTTCAGCTTTACAAGACAAGTGCTTGGAGGCACAGAAAGTTCTGGTAGAAACATTGGCAGTGCCATCACTAGCATTAGGGCTCGTACCGGTTAGAGAGAGGGAGTACATTTTGTGGTTTATTCACACTTAATAGCAGTGCATTGAAAACCGCAAAATTTTATGCAAAAAAGGGGTTAATTTGGAAACATTCTCCAACTCATCTCTCGTCACAGCTTGGCTATTTTTTCTTACATTTTGCAATGTTTTCACCACAATTTGGTATTTAGTGAATAAACATCATAGTTTCTGTTACACTTGCTACAAAAAGTGGTGATATAAACGGGGAATTATGAACACTGGACAGGGGAATTGTAACGTTAGGCACAAATAGCGATATGAAACATATCTGCAGTTCAGTTATTTTTCCAGCTCGGGCTATTTTAGATTAACCACTACAGCCCGGTGTAATTATTATAATGCTGCAAGTTCCCTGGTCTTGTTTCCCAGTAATTGGGCAAACTGTATCGCAACGGTTTGCCCTCTTACCTGTGTCCCTACCAGACACCAAGGGTCCTATGTGGCCAGTGATTGCAAAGCTACAAATTCTGGGCAACACGACCACGTCAAATCACTGAAGTCGTCATGCTGCTTGGAGTAACCCTTTAAAAATTACAATTACTTTTTTAATTCTTAACAACTCCCATTTACTGATTAAACCTCACAGACAATGAGGAATAAATCAAGATTGAGTAAGAAAAAAATGGTTTCACTTTCATACAGATGTAATTTACCTTAAATAATTGTATCTCAATCTCTAAATTGAACTTTAAATCACATACAGGAGGCTCTTGCGGGGTCTAGCAAGCTATTAACATAGCAGGGGATAAGAAAATCTTAATTAAACAGAACTTGCAATAAAGAAAGCCTAAATAGGCCTCTCTTTACAGGAAGTGTTTATGGAAGGCTGTGCAAGTCACATGCAGGGAGGTGTGACTAGGGTTCATAAACAAAGGGATTTAACTCCTAAATGGCAGAGGATTGAGCAGTGAGGCTGCAGGGGCATGTTCTATACACCAAAACTGCTTCATTAAGCTAAAGTTGGTCAGGTGACTATAGTGTCCCTTTAAATATACTTAAAGGACCACTATAATGTTAGGAATACAAAACTGTTTTTCTAACACTGTAGTGTCCCTCTGCTCCAGTCCCCCTACTCCCCCTACTTTGCTTGCCTATTTGTGATGCTCCCCATCTGAAAAATGGACATTTAAAGATGGGGAGGTGTGATCAATGGAGATGTCAAAACAATGGGTCCTAATACCAAACTGTTTCATGCTAAATTAGTTTGTTTATTATTTTAAATTACAGTATCATATAATGTTTATAGATTCTTTTTTTACATGTTCTGTCGCTTAAAATCTCAGTACTACAGTCTTTTTTTCTAAAGTATTAGTGAATTTCAAATTTTAGTCCAAAATTGACTCGGGGATTTATTTTCAGTTTAGATATGATGGCTGAAACAGATTGCCACGCCGCGATTAAAGCAGACTTAGAGTTTTTTCCAAATCAGACCGTTTTGCCAAGATTTGCATTTCAAATGTCATATTTCAGTTCGTTACATTGGTAAAGGAATAATTGTCACCTCAAAAATCTTTTTTAATTGAATAATCCTTTAAACTAAAAATTGAAAGGAAACCGAATTTTTTTTAAAACAAAGTTTATGTAAGAAAATTAGAAAAACTCATCCCTACCTTGATAGGATCTTACAGCCATAATGTATCACGTCTCAAGAGAAGTGAGACTTGGCTGTCTGAGCGCTCTGATTGGTTGACTTATCGTGTTGGCTTTTTTTAATATCCGAACCTTGATTTGCAGTGCGGTTTCAGCTGGCCAATGGTTTTTTTTCTAGCTGAAATGCGTGTAAAATTCAGGCCAGTTTGAGTCCCGAATAAAAAAAATCCAGACTTGTGACGAAAGTAACCTCGTCATTGGCTTTTGGAGGGGTCTGTTTGCCAGCCTCCTACCATGTGATTATGGCCCTTGTGACGAACTTGTGACGAACTGAACCTCGTCACGGGTTCTTGGAGGGGCCTGCTGGCCAGCCTCTTGCCTCAGGACTATGGGCCCTGCAATATACCTTGCCCAATGCACTTTTAAAGGCACTGTTCATGTGAAGTACTTTTGTACTCCAGACAGAGAGGCCGACCGTTAGCCCTAATTCTCTGAAACTGTTTTGGGCATGGGACCATGTGCACGGTGGGTAAAAATAAAATAAGAAATTCCTGAACTGATCTGGGTGATTTTTGGATATGTTGGTCACCCAGATAAGGGTTTTTTGTATTTTAAGGTACTTTTGGGGTGTTTTTAAAAAGTGTGTTTTTTCTGTGCTTGGAGATAATTGGATTAAAATTAGTACAGACTCAGGGCCGCCATCAGGGCATGACAACCATAACGGTTGTCATGGGCCCGGCGGTCCTAGGGGGCCTGGACTGCTCTGGGAGTCCCGGGCCCCACATTCCTTTTGTGCGATTATCGCTATCTATATGTTCACCTCGGGCCCCGGCTACCTGTAGAATGTAGACGGGGACCAGCCAGCACATCTTAACTCTCCAGCAGCTCCTGTGCGAGAGTTACAGGCAGGAGTTGCTGGAAAGTGAAGATGTGCTGGCTGGTCCCCGTCTACATTCTACAGCGGCTGGCTCCCTCCACTTTACCACCGGACCACCAGGGATGCGATCTCCCACCTCCCTGGCCAGGTAAGAAGCAAGGAGGGGGGAATAAAATGTAAATGCCACCAAAAAGGCTCCCCTCACACCCCCCGCCCCCAAATGCAGCAACCTATTTTACACATTTACATACACTAAAACCACAACACACACTGCATACACCATACACACACTAAAACCACAACACAAACACAAACTGCATTCACCATACACACACTAAAACCACAACACAAACACACACTGCATTCACCATACACACACTAAAACCACAACACAAACACACACTGCATTCACCATACACACACTAATCTACCATACACACACTAAAACCACAACAAAAACAAACACTGCATTCACCATACAAACACTAAAACCACAACACAAACACACACAGCATTTACCATACACACACTAAAACCACAACACAAACACTCTGCTTTCACTACACAAACACACACTTTATCTAAAACACACAAAACTACATGCATTTTACAAATGTGCAGTCTGTATCCATTTTACACACCACACAGGGCATCCTTGTGGGCGGACTCAGAATGGGCCCCCGGAGGCAGACTCAGGGGCAGGCCCAGGGGGCCCACACTTTGAACTGTGTCAGGGGCCCCAAAATGTCTGATGGCAGCCCTGAGTACAGTTACCGATCCAATTATCTGCCAAGCAGAGGAGAGAGATTTGTTTACCCCTTCATGAAGTCATGGCTCATGTTTGGGGGGATTGGAGAACTACATACACTCTGGAGATTGCTATATCACAATACTCCCCTGAGTATAATCACTAGTTCTTGTAAGAGCTGTTCCTGCTACGCTCTCTGGCTAGGAGAGGTCTACCCACTGGAAGCTGGATCTTGGTCTTGAGTCCAGTTTGGGTGGAGGACGGCGAGACCCCAACCAAGCTGCGGCGGTTTGTGGGGTTTACTGTGGTTATGGTGTCCCAGTGCCATGCTTATGTACTCGCAAGAACTAGCAAGCAGCGATTGACGGAGGTACCCGGCCGGGGTGCCAGGCGGTCCGTTACACTTGTTAAATAGCATGAACAATGTTCGTATTTGCAGTCACTTTATTCAATAACCCCGTTAGTCTCTATGATCTTCCCTGCGTCACTCCCTGCACAGAAGCACGGATGACTATAGAGACTAACTGTTAGTTTTAAACACAAACTGATGAAAGGATTATTATGTTAAAAAGATTTTTGAGGTGACAGCTGTCCTTTAAGTTTTTTTAATAAACCCCTTACAATTTGCTATTACTATCATTAATCATGTTAGTGAATAAATCTTTAAGTGTTGTTAACCATTAAGCGCTGCCCCTTATTTTGCATTTATTAGGAGGGCATTCTGATAATAACTTAATACTATTGGTACAGTCTGCATTTCTAACTTTAACAGAACACTTCATTGACAATTTTGTTTAGCAATTTAGTAGTTATGCCCCCAAAGAAACCAAGCATTAATTTATTATAAATATTTTTTGGGGGGTATATGGAAAAACACCTTTGCAAGCTTTTCCGAGAAGCCTCTGTGCTGGTGCTGCAAGCACACACTTTCTCATTGAGAAAGGGGAAGGCGGATTGGCTTTTGATTAACAGTTCTGATTATGTCAGCCAAGCAAGCAGATCAGAGGCAGAGCAAGCAGTAGCAGACTGGATCAAAAGTAAGATTTTTCTATATTTAGGGTGACAAGGAAAGACCAGGGGAGTTAGATGGTGTTTGCAACACTGTAGGGTCAGAAATAGATCTTTGTGTTCCTGGCCCTATAGTGTTCCTTTAACAACAATACAAGATTTTGGCATCCATTTCATTGCATTATTGAATACTTTGGAGATTGATCAAATAAAAAGATAATTAAGATGAAATATTTTACATACTGAGCAGTTCTTTTCTCGTAATGTGATCACATATCATACGGGTCTCGTTAAGGGTTAGGAGGACGTGCCCTGAATCGTAGCATTCACACTGCAGCATGTAGTTAGCTGCTTCATTCAGGGCCACCGCTGCTGTGTCCAACTTATGAGCTTGTAGGTAAAGATCTCCAGCATCGTAGAAGCACTGCGCGGCTCGCACCATATCCTTCATCCCTAAATAGCAGTATGCCATCTTCATGTGTGTGTCGGCTTCGCTTCCCATATTGGAAGGCTGGTAAAGAGGAATGGCTTTACGGAAATTTTCCAGTGCTTTAGGGTAGTCCACCATGGACTCGTAAGCTGTACCAAGATTAAAGTAAAGATCCCCCGTGCATTCTCCTTCTCCCTCCTTGGGCCGTGACTTTAGCAAAAACTCCAGTCCTTTCTCTGGCTTCCCAGTTTCCACGTATGCAGCGCCAAGGTTGAACGCACATGCCCGTTGGACTGTCATTATTTTGGTACCCAGAGAGAGCAAAAAGGCCTTTTTAAAGCATGGCAGGGCAGTATTGTAATCGCCAGAGAGCAGAGCTTTGTGTCCAGCTTTGGTGAGATCTTCTATCTCAGTCTGAGAATCTCCAACGTTCTCTTCTTTGCCATTTGTGTCACCTGAATTGTTTGCCACTTCCTTAATCTTTTTCTTCTTTTTCTTGACAGCTCTTGGTTCAGGTGCTCCTGAATCTTCATTGTTTGATTTATCATTTTGGAGGTCTCCAGGAGCCATCACTTACGAACAAGTCCTTACCACCTGTTATGTAAAATAAAACAAAACAAATAGCTGTAAAACTATACAATAACCCTGCATAATAAGATACCGTTGAGTAACTATATTTATCTGTCCTATTAGGCCACTGTCCTGAACTTCACGCAATCGCCAACTGCATACTTGGCTTCTGTAAAAAACTAGATGAATGGATGTTCATGTAGACTCTTTCTTAATTTCTTCTTGTCTTCAGTTGATTGATATATATATATATACGTCTTTTGTATATATATTCTTGGGCCAAATGCTCTCCACAATAATATATGTCTATATTATTGAAAAGTAGTAATACGCAATCTGACTTACGGTTTCTTCAGGTTTATTCTTAGTTACGGATACATAAAACAACAAATGATGTTACAGGATAATGGACATTCAACAGCAGATGGTAATTGCTGGACTTCTGATGGGAGAGTTACATCGTTGTACAGAGCCAAGCCAAGAGTGAGACCGACCTCGTGTCCCTCTGTTACTAGGGGTCAGGGGTTCCATCCAAACAAAGAAAGCCCTACTTAGGGCAATCCCCAGGTCAGGAGCACTATTGAAGCTTTCTCCACATGGGTCTGAATGTACCAAGTATACCTCGCATAGTGTGTTCATGTCTTATGATATGCCTCTTGGATTTATGATTAGGTCAGTTGCTAGGGCCTTGCCTCATGCCCTTCTTAGAGCCTTGCTGTCACTGAGAGCGCTAGTGCCTCTTGTTCGAGATTTGCCAAGACCTCACAAACTCTAGAACTTCCTCTGACGCTCACACTGTGCCTTCTGGAGACCTGGTCTCTGGTGTCAGAGAATCGGGACAACAGAGCAGAATAGGTTTAAGTTTGGGGATCCCGCCTCTATTCTTCACATAGGGATTGTTAAAGGAGCCAAGCAAAATCATGGTTCTAGAGCTCCTGTCTAACCCCTGAGCGGCTGCCAAGTGTAGCCTTAAGGTTAATCCTTTAATGCATTAGAGACAAAAAGTGGAAAGTATCCGAAAATTAAGACTGTCAGATGCAAGATAGCTGGAAGATTTGAAGTAGCTCCCCACTTTCCACAATGCTGAAACTGTAAATGGTTTCTTTAAACTCTATGATAATGCTTTGTGTCCAACATGCACAATATTAACTGTAAATCTTTTATCTGGTTTTTGTTTTTTAAATTAAACAAAACGATGAGCAGATTTAAAAAAAAATATTAACACAGCAAGTATAGACCATTTTAAAAATGCTTTATGACGGTCCATAGATAATTTTAGCCTTAGGTTTAGCAATATCGATCTGTTAATCATATATAACTGTACGGCTAAAGATGTTGTAGTACCTAGACAACAATCTGTACAAAAAGTAGTTTTCTGGTGCTATTAAAATTTTATCCAGTGTAAGACAGTTTTAAAATCGGAATCCCTTATTTAAGAGTCGTCTCTTTTCTTTACTATAAAAAACTTTACTATAAAACATCCAGTTGTTGCTGTAAATATTAATCAGCATTATTTAGATCTACCCTGACCCATGACTTGTTTAACATTCAGGAACTTGTAATGTGTTCTTAATTACTTAGCATTAACAATATTTAACATTTATTCTCCTATATTAAAAGGGCTGTCTAAGCACTACAGCATCCAGTGTCCCTTTAAACAAAGCCAATTCTCCCAGTTACCCCGTCCATGCATCTACTACCTATATATATATATTTGAATGTCACAGCAGTTCTTTTTATAATATTTTTACAGGATGTCGGTATTCCATCGGTTTATAAGGGCGAATTGAGAAAAAAGGAAGAATTTGTGTGACACTTACCAAAAATGTAAATATATATATAAGTGAATTAAATTAATATCAAACTGATATATAAACTGCTTCCGTAACACGCAAAAGATAATAAAATAAAACGAATATATATTTTCACTGATGCACTAAAAGGGTTTGTAGCTGGTGTGTATATTTTCATTTTGCTTTAATAAATTCAAATTTAGAGCTAGTGTAGAAGTGGCTAACTAAGTTTGGAGATTTTGGGGTAATTTTGGACAAAAATTTGAATTTTCTTTGCCAGTTCTTCAGAATTTACAGTATAACGAACAATCGCCTGAGCAATTAATTGAAGGATTAGAATGTAGTGGCAATTATTCAATAAGGAGAATTATTGGGGTGTTACAAAGCACACGGGGGGGGCACAGAGGGGCACATACCAGTGAGAGGTTTGGGGGCTTGCCGTGGACGCCTGTGCTGTCTGAAGAGTCTGGTTCAGGCTCCTGGTCTCAGTGTTTGCGTGGTGTTTAATTTCTAAAGAGAGATACTCTTGCTTTGTCATTGTCTCCAGTAGCAACAGGTTTCAACAATGCCCCGGGATCACTCCTCCCAATCTACTGAGGGCTTGACAAAGTGGGCTGGCCACTCACCATAAAACCCAGCCGATATAGTTCACCAGACTCTCGTGACCTGAATGATGGATTGAACAATATAGGAAACAATAGCTATTTTCAAAAAATTCTCCTACAAAACTATAGCCACAGGCTGCCTATTTAGCCTTAGAAGTTTGGTGTTCAGTACAATTTGTTTTTAACGATTAAAGGGACACTATAGTCACCAAAAACAAGCAGTTTTGTGTATAGATCATGCCTCTGAAGTCTCACTGCTTAATTTACTGCCAAAACTCCTAAATGTCAGAGAATTAAGGGACATGATCTATACACTAAAACTGCTTCATTCAGCTAAAGTTGTTTTGGCGATTAAAGTGCACATTTAAATCCAGACACTGAGGGCTTTTCATATCTGTAAAATAATCATTTTATATTTACTGCCTTTCTTCCAAAATTGTATTTTTTCAGCCTCAAAAAAGGCCAAATAAAAGTCCATAACACATAACGCAACTCTTAAAAGGAAAAAAAAAAAGAAATTAGACAAAACACAAGGATACATTTCAAAAAATTACGCAGTAAAAATAAATCTGGGTGGGGGCTACTTACTACTTACGGTCCAACTCCAAAAAGGATGTTGCCATGTGAATTCTAATTCTATTTCAGAAAATCAACCACATCAGTTCAGATGCAGTGCTGTTATCACTAGGTTGCGTAATTCTGGCTCCAGACAAATATAAATGATGCAAGATATGACCTTTGCTACTTTTTATACTATTTAATATTTTGCATTAATGACGCAGAACTGACATAAAAAGGTATTGGGCCTATAAATCCTCCTCCTGTTTATGGCTCAGTGCTATTCGTTAGTTCACTGATCCTTAAAGCAACACTCCGGTCACCATAATAACTTCATCTAAGTCTTACCTTGAGGGTTTATACCATTCTCGAACGGTGTGCCCCAAAGTGTGCCTCCAGCACCGATCTGCAGGTCCCCCAGACGGCTTGAAAAGAAATGTACATTTTTCAAGCCAGCTTTAAGAATGAGGACTCACTGACTGGCTCAGTTCGCCAGCTGACCACTCTAAGCCAACCAGCAGTGCCCCTGCCCAGTGACACTCTGCACTTCATGAAACTGAGGTTCAGCAGGTGTATGACACATGGGCAACCTGCAAATCGGTGCTGGAGGCAAACTTTGGGGTTAAATTGTTCGAGAACGATTTAACCCCTTAAGGTAAAAGTGCGCCAAGTTGCCTACTGGCACCATAACAACTTCATTTTGAGTTTAAGTGCATTAATCTGTGCATTTTGACCCGGCTTTGACAGTGACCCTGATCTATATTTATAGTATTCCTGACCCTCAGGTTTTGACCTGGCTAGTCCTAACTTTGATATGTTATTTTCCTCTTGATTTGTATTCCTGTTTATCTGGCCTAGGTATTATTAGAATTAACTTGCTACTCCCCATTTCTTTTCTTAGCGTTAAGCTCGGCCACTGTGAGGTCTGGTTTAAAGCCTCTTCCATTGTCCTACTTTGCCTTGAAAGGTCAGCTTGTATCTTGCTGGGGATTCAATTAGTGAACCACCACCCGCTGGTGGAGGGTAGGGGGTACACCCTGACCTGTCCATCCCTGGTATCTTTTATTAACAGTAAACAGCAGTCACTGCTTACACCCACAGCATAGACAGCCAATCAAATATTTTCTTTATTAGACTGATCCATTTCTAAGCAGGACCCCAGGCTCCTCTCGGATGAAAGGCCTCCAGCTGAAGAGACACATCTTTCTCAGAATGATGAATATATTTCAGCGATTGGCTCTCTAAATGTTTGTGAATTTCATTTCCCATGATGCTCAGCCAGCCCTTAGGATAGTGTTGTTTACGAACATCTGGAGAGTCGATGTTATTTTGGCCATTCTGATATGATTGTCACACAACCTAAAAAAACACAACCTGCAATGGCCTAAAAATCTCCACTTGCCTTCTCACCATTGGTCCCCAATTGGCTTAGCCACGGCTACATACCTAATGCAGCGGGTATGTGGGAAGAAAGAGCCGGCATGGGCACTTTGCTTTCATGAGGACCCAGAACTAGAGCCACTGCTGTGGTGTGAGCGCTGACTCCTGAAGGTGGACCTCTAATAGTTCTGATAAGATCCATCTGTCCGGTGTTTCACACCGCTGTGATACCTGACACGATCATTTCATGGTGTTCTGATTCCAATAGTGGGGCTGGACAAACGGTAGATCTTCAGATGTTGTAGAACTGATGCTTTGCCATTCTAAGTGCTGGCAAAGGTTAAACAATTCCAAGTTTTGTTTTGGTCAGAAATTGGACAACTGCCTGTTCTAGTACGAGGCTTTAACCCCTTAAGGACCAAACTTCTGGAATAAAAGGGAATCGTGACATGTCACACATGTCATGTGTCCTTAAGGGGTTAATCAGTACGCTGCATACTGAGCACCAATGATAGGCTCACCAGATTTAGAAAATGGAGTGAAGAAAAATATGTACCTATTTCACCCCGTTTTGTAACTGGGGAGCTACCGATAGGCTGAGGGTGTCATCTGAGACTCTCGTATACAAATACAAAGATAAAGCACCGCGCTTACAGCAGCAGTA